ATGTTGGTCTCACATAAACCAGATATATATATATATATATATAGAGAGAGAGAGAGAGAGAGAGAGAGAGAGAGAGGGGGGGGGGGTTTCAAATGTGAATGTTATATATGGTGATAACTTACGAATAAAAGGTTCATATGTAGATCCTTAAAAAATTATTTAAAGAATATGTGAACCATATGAATATTTTGTAACGTCAATTCACATATGCATACTCAAACAAATATTTTCAATGATTCACATATGAAAATTTCCTTCGCACAGTTTTACCATATGCATCTTTCTCATTTAAACATCTCAATATACACACACACATGGGGGGGGGGGGGAGGTTCTGTTAGGCACTTGGAACCGTTCAAAGCATGACATGTGACATATTCATCAGGAACATTGACGTGCTATTTATCAGCATTATTATAATATATTCACTGTGAATACTTGATTCATGATAAATATTCATCTTTATGTTATATACGGTTCCTAAGTCCTTAATCAATTTTAAGTTTTAACTAAACTTCCCTGTCTATAAGTGTTGTATACCACCTCCAAACAATATTTCTTTTATAAGAATGGTGCAGGTTTTTGTGTATCTCGTAATTAATATCTAATAAAGACGGATTTGAGGGTCCTAATGGGCAACCATGCAACCATTGACCTTTTTCAACATATTGTAAATGTATTTTAAGGATGTTACTATTTTTACATAGTATGATACAGTACAATCACAAAAATAATGTCATATACCTATATACATCTAAAGTAATATTGTTTTTAACATCAATTTTTTAAAAACTTTTCTACATATAAAACACAAATAAATAGTATTATATCATTTTTTTTATTAACCTGAATATCCAACCCGTTATGCAAAACGAATAATCTCAGGACGACCACCTGCTTTGCAGGTAACTCGGAGTCACCACATTTGAACTTGCGTGACAATAAGAGGATTTCTATTCCTCTTTCGATTTGAACCTGAGATCTCAAGACACTTTTAATATTAAGAGTTTAAACTCAAACCAGTCATACACCACATTTGTTTTTTATTACATCAACTTTAATGTTTTTTTTTTATAATTCTATTACCATTTTAATATTATTTTGATTTAATTTAAAATTGAAACGAGTGTGTGTGATGCGGAAATTAAAGATGCCATGAAAGGCTCCAAAGGCGGAGTGAATGTGTATTTTCACATGCTTTTCCACAACCAAGATTCCCATCCCTAATTTTATAATACCCATATTAACTACTATTAAATTATTTCATTAATTCTTTATGGAATTTTCAATTCCATTGTCTATTTATAAAAAAAATTATTTAATGTATTTTATAAAGAAAAAAAAACATATCAATTTAATGGATAGCTTAAAAAATAAAGCAGGTCAAAATTTACGGGTTGATTGTAGGGGTGTATAAAAAGGTCAAACCGTTTAATCTGTCCAATTTAACCTGTTAACAACTTAATTAAACTCAACTCGTTAAGTCATCGAACCATCAATTAAGATGGTTGAAATTGGTTCCGTCAACCCGTCGCCGCTAATATATATATATATATATATATATATAGAGAGAGAGAGAGAGAGAAGTTGGTTATTATACAACTCTTTACATTTGTACAACCAATACAACTCAATCTCAACCGTCCATTTAAGTTGATGAATATGTAATTTCATAGAAGTTTTGATTGTTTCTTAATATAAAGTATTGATCATAATTAATGAACCATATCATTTTCCATAAATATTCAAATCATAATAAATAAACTCTCATCATTTCTATAAATATCTCAATTAATTGGGTTGCATTGGTTGTACAAATGGACATGGTTGCATTTGAAATATACCATATATATATATATATATAATGCATTTGTGATATCTAAAAGATTTACCTTAAGGTTATGGATGATTATAACTTGCCATTGAATTACTCTCAACGAATTTGAAGATATCTCATTTCCCTAAAAGAATTTTACAAGAAAATTGTCGTTTTATTATATTAAGCAAAAAAAAAAATCGTGTGTGAATAAAAGTTAAACTGAAAAAATGTAAAAAAAAGATTTAGACTATTGATCATTTTTAATCTCAAATCAACTCATTAATTACGTTTTAAAAGAGAATGAACCTGGTGTTTATCATTAATATTGTTCTAGTAAAACTCTTCAATTAGAACTGATCTAAGGGTGAAGACCCTTCTTACCTTTCTCATTATAACTCTCATTCTCACTAAAATTCAATAGAGCTTTATATATTTCGATTAATTAATATGAGTTAATAATTCTAAAAATTATATGCAAATGAAATACATGCACAATGAGAAATCATTGTAATAATGTTAATGCTCCAAATGTAATATAATACGTTGACGGCATGTTTACCACATGCAAGTCGAACAAAAAATGGGGTTTTCAAATACATTTATTGCTTTTATAAAAAATATTTTTCATTTAATGTTATCAACGTTCATCAACGAACTGTTTGTTAGCAATTTAACGAGACAATTATTCATTTGGTTATACATAGTTGTTTGATGATGTCTTAATAATATAGAAAATGACTTATTCAGTAAGTTTTAAGGGAAATGTTTATGCAGAAAACTAAATCTTTCAATCTATATAGACACGCTAATCTACGAACATTACTTTATTCATACATAATTTTATGGAAAACCAATCAAAGAGCCTCTAAATGATAGATACGAAACAAGAAGACTACATTTATTTTACTTATTCATGAAGCCATATCCAAGACTATTTATATGTAAAGATTAAGCTGTTTGTTTGGATTAAAATAAATTATTATTTTTTATACGGAATGAACTATCATCATACTAAAAGACCTTTGGCCTAGCGGTATTGTAGCCCTTGGCCTTCTAGGAGGTCAGGGGTTCAAACTTTACCATAAATGAGGAGGATGTGTAAGTTTATTTATTGTATTTGCTGTATATAAATATTATATACTTAAAAAAAAACTATCATCATTACGTAAACTACTAATTGAGCATTTTGTTTTGCTGATTAAATTAGGTTATAAGCCCACTAAGTCAAAATGGAATATGACTAGAAAGACGTATCAATTAAATGATTTTAATTATCATTAAAGATATGTATGACAGAATTTAACTCTCTTTTCTTTCAAGGAGCCTTGGTTATTTTAGTGGATCTCGTTCGCCCCCATCCGAGCACATATTTGGCTTGTTTTTAGTGTTTTTTCTTGATTAGAAGGGTCTCCCTCCTCTCTTTCAAAATTAATATTAATGTATTTTTGTAAACTTTCAAGTAAAAATATTATATTAATGTTAAATGAAAATTTCATTTACTTTTACATTCTTAAACACAACAAATAACAACTTTTATATCAGATAATCAGTTTGTTTGAGTTTTGACAAATTCTAGATATCTAAAAAACAAATATATAAAACAACCGAAAAAGACGTAGTGAAAAAATAAAATATGTCTTGTGAAATGCAATTAAATATATTTGGAAAAAAAAGGTTGATTATAAGGACACTAATATGAAAGGATATTTTTTGACTCACTTAATGATTGAGGTTAACGGGAGGGTTCGAGATTGAATCCGAAACCTATCTTGTATCGTTTATTTTTATTTTTGCAGTTTTGTTACAAGAATAAAGCTGATTATTTAAACCATTATTAAATAATAAAAATTAAACTCTACATATAAAATATTTTTTTGAGTAAATGTATTTATTTATATATTAAATATAACTAGAAGGTACTCGTGCAATGCAATGAGATGCATATTCATTTTAATGTTTTGTTTTATTTTTTGTCTTTGTTGATATATCGGTTTATATAGTTTTAAGAAAGATAATGTTTTTACTTTTGAATAAAAATAAATTTGAAGACATCATAATTTTTTTTAAATATATCGATATTGATATCAAATTAACTATTTAAAAGTTCTTGTTTTTTATATAATTTATTTTTTTATTATAATTTAATTTAGGTCAAATAGCGAAGTAATTTATTTTTGAATTGACAATGAAATTTTTATAAAGATAATGATTCTGTTAGAACTCGGTAATTATCTTAATTATATTTTATATATTTTATATTTTAAAATGAAATGTTTATTCTCGATTTGATTATGTTTATCCGTAGTTAGTTACATGAATTCAAACATGTAGCTTTAATAAGTTGTACTTATGCATAATTTACTTGTAATCTTGAATTTTAAGTAATATGCATCAACATACGGTATTTTATGCATAAAAATGGTTTTTAAAAATTCTTGTCAAATATTTTATAATATAACATATATTGTTATGAATTTCTAAATTACAATAAACGAATATAAAATTTCAAAAGTTACCTCCAAAGTCCAAACTCCCCCGCCTCACTATCTCTTAAAATAAAACACACATATACACACCGACTATGTGTGATCATATATATATATATATGCCTATATCTATATATTACTATACAATTATACATCTCAGCAAGAAGATTGCTCCATCCAGAAAAACAATTTCCCCCCTTTTTCTGGTTTCGTCCCACTCACTTTGTTCTTCCCCAACCACCCCACTCTCCTTCACATACACAATTCTGCTTTTCAATTTTTGCACAGTAAATTAATCAATCATGGAAATCAACTCCATCTCCAAATGCCTTTTGCTGTTATTGATTGCAGTTCAATTGTGTTGTCAACAAATCCATTGCAGCGTTACGTATGATGGCAAAGCCATACTCATCAATGGCCGAAGAAGGATTCTGATATCTGGTTCAATTCATTATCCCAGAAGTACTCCCGAGGTGATCTAATCTCTAATTACCTTCAATTTAGCTTCTATTTCGTTGATTTACGTTTTTTTTATGAAGTTGCGTTTATGTTTTTGATTTGCAGATGTGGGAGGATGTTATAATGAAGGCGAAAGAAGGAGGATTAGATGTGATTGAAACTTATGTGTTCTGGAATGTTCATGAACCTTCTCCTGGCATTGTACTTTTCTCTTCCTTTCTTCCTAAAAACCACCGGTAATATATAATTATACACACATATGTGAAATACCATTAGCGGAACACGAATTTAGACACAAGTGTTTGAAGTTTTTGCGATTTTGGTGGTTTTTATCAAACCTTGAGACAAATCAATGAGTTAGAACTGGTAATTTCATTAAAAATAAAAGAAATATGGTGGTGAAGGTTAGAAACCATAGACACATACTACATGCATTCCCTTGTCATTCAACTAACATGCTTTCCAACCATACATAGATTACCACATAAATAATTTGATATTATTATATTACATTTTATGGTAAATCGTTTATTTCTAACTCAAACTCGAATATTTAAGAATCCACAATATTTGAACCACCTTACACATATTTTGACTAATCTTCTGAACGACCATAAATGGCATCGGTTCATCACAAATGAAGTTTCGTAGTATCTTGAAAAAATGAACTTTAATATAAATTGTCTTGGGAGATTATAATTTCTTTTATATATAGCATTTTTATTAATCACTTTAAAAATTGAACTACGAATTAAAAGTATTCATAGAAATATCATCTTGAAAGTATTCATAGAAATATCATCTTTACCTTTTTAATAAAATATGTTAAATTCGTTTGATTTCGTTTAATTTTTAAGAAGATTTTATTTTTCATTTTATCAAAGATATGTGGGAAATCTTGAGGTTGGTCAAACACATTTATTAGGAGTGTATTGATTGTCAAAGTTTGTATTTACTATGTTGCTTCGAGTTCTCTCCAACTTTGTAATTTTATGTTTGATTTTTTTAAATATACATGGAGATGTTGGGGATTGCTTATTTGAAACAACTTATTTTTTTCTATAAAAATCCTTATCAACTTATTATAAGTTTAAAATGTTTAACTTCTTCAAAAACTACTTATTACCGGTTTAACATTCGTATAAGATTTTTATCCAAACACCCCTATAATATGCTGTTTTTCAAAAAAAAAAAAATTGCAATACCGAAATAAAATCCCTAAAATATGAAAAGACACAATAACTTTATTATTTATGTAATCTCCTCGTATGGTATGTTTGATGATATGTAACGGACGTTATTTTTTTATTATTCTAATGACATTTGATGTAGATGGTAAATTTTTATGCTCCATAAAATTCCCCTCTATTTTCTTTAACTAATAAATCAATCGTTTTATATGGAATTTTTTTAGTATAATTTTGAAGGGAGATACGATTTGGTGAGGTTCTTAAAGACGGTGCAAAAAGCAGGCCTTTATGCACATCTCAGAATTGGGCCTTATGTTTGTGCTGAATGGAATTTCGGGTAATTTCCTTTTCCTTTTCCTTTTCCTTTTCTAAAAATTGTATACTCTTACTATATTATCATATATTACCTTATAGTCTTGAGAGTTTTTTTTTTTAATTCAGAATTTAAATAAGATATATTTTAAAAAAATTCAGGTTTGAATCCTATAAACTAACTCATAACAAACTGATATATTCAAATATTGGATAAGTGTTCTCTTTTCAAAAAGATACAAGATAAGTTTTTTAAACCATACAATAAGATACTCCATTAATTTTGAATTTTCCTTTTAAAAATTAATTGAATTAATTTTTTATTTTTCAGGTTTACGATAAAATCTTACATCACACTGTATCAATACTATATTATACAGCATTTGACAAAAACTCTTAAAAATCATTTTTTATGTATGAAGTACTGTTTATTATGTATATTACTTAAAATTCAAGATTACAAGTAAATTATGCGTAAGTACAACTTATTAAAACTTCATGTTTGAATTCGTATAACTAACTGCAGATAAACATTTCATTTTAATTATAAAATATCTAAAATAATTAAGATAATTATTGAGTTCTAACAAAATACTTAATTATTATCTTAAAAAATTATGTTATTAAATCAAAAATAAATTAATATGTTTTTAAACTTCAATTAAATTATAATAAAAAATTAAATTAAAGAAAGTACATAAAAACGGGAACTTTTAGATAGTTAATTTGATGCTAATATCGCTTATTTTTTTCAAAATTTTATAATATCTTCAAATTTATATTTTATTCAAAAATAAAAACATTTTCTTTTTCTCAAAACCACATAAAATCGCATTATAACATCGATAGACTCAAAATATAAAATGAAACATTAGAATCAAAATATAATATCGTTGCATTGCACGAGTCTCGAGTTATAAAAAAATTATTTGTTGCATAAAATTATTGATTATTAGTTTAAAGAAAATCATAATTTAAGCTTGTATGCGGAATAACAAAAGAAAATCTAATGTTAGAATTAAAAAATTACAGTGTATTTTTTTTTGGTAAAATTTAGCATAATTTTCATTTTCTTCTCTACAACCAAAACAAGTGTCATTTCCTATAAATTTGAAAGGCATTATTTATTATTTATGTTGATAAACTGCAAAGAAAAAAAACATTAACATTTATTTTACAAAAATTTGCAACAAGTAACCAAATAATGTTTTCACATACATACCTTTTGGCTTTTGTATTGGTATCCCACCTCCAAGTTGTATATTTTATATAAGAGTAAATTATGTTGGATTATTAAAAATTAATAGATTTTGTTTATGTGATTTTGAAATATGGTTTTCTTCCTATGATTGCAACTCGTTCTATTTTTAGTCCTTAAAGTTAACTTTTACCTTTAAGTATGAGGGGCAAATATAACAAGGAACTATAAACAACAAAGATGCAAAAAACAATAAATCTTAAACCATAAGGACAAAAGCAATAAATAAATTGCGAACCATAGGAATGAAATCGCAATCTCAAAACCAAAAGAACGAAAATAGTATTTTTCAATAAATCACAAAGACAAAGATCGTAATTTACTTTTTAAATAATTATTCAAGACAGGTTGTCTTAATTTTATATGATAATTATTGGTATTATTTACTTCTTGTAAATTACTTAAAGGTTCATTTTGTTTAGGGGATTTCCAGTTTGGCTGAAGTATGTTCCTAACATTAGTTTCAGAACTGATAATGAGCCATTTAAGGTCAAAACTTCTCAATTTGCTTTACTTATTTAATTTAATGCTAAGATATAATTTTAGTAATTTAAATAAATGTTCTTTTTATTTTGCAGTGGGCTATGAAAGGGTTCACTGAGAAAATTGTGACGTTGATGAAGGGTGAAAAATTATTTGAATCCCAAGGAGGCCCAATTATACTCTCTCAGGTATAACCACCTTTCTATGGTTTGCTAGGAGCAAATTTGTAATTCAAGCTTTTATTTTGGTATTTATAGCTTGTTATAATTTACTAAAAATCAACAATTGGCATAAGAAACTTTTATGCTACAACACTTCTTACCCCAGCAATAATTCTCAAATACATATTTACGTATTAATAACCTTGTAACGACCGACTTATATCTTATGTAATAAAAGTTATATATAAATGCTGATTCTTTTCCGGGACTAAAAGACCAAAATGTGCAAGAACTAGAGCATGATTGAGGATTTGATTTATTACATGAACCAAAATGGCAAATTGTGATTTACTGTGGTATGAAACAGATAGAGAATGAGTATGGGGCACTAGACAAGAAATTTGGAGCTGTTGGACATAACTACATGACTTGGGCTGCAAATATGGCGGTTGGATTACGTACAGGTGTCCCTTGGATTATGTGTAAACAAGATGATGCCCCGGATCCTATTGTAAGCACTCATCCAACCTGACCCATTTCATTTACTATACTTACTTTGACAAATTATCTGGGTCGGGCCTGCTTGGTAGCCCAGGTGTAGTATTACCTGGGGTATGGATTGTGTGAACCGACCCTTTGTATTAGTTGATCTATTTGTCATGTTTTCAAGAACATAAACCGAGTATTATTTATGAATACTGGTATTTTATGGCAGATAAACACATGCAATGGTTTCTATTGTGATTATTTCTCCCCCAACAAGCCTTACAAGCCTAAAATTTGGACAGAGGCATGGACTGGATGGTATGCAATTAATTTTGTTGCTTTTTTTTCTTGGGTCTTTTTGTTCATACCACTTTTCTCGATTTTTTTAATCCATGGTAGAGGATAATCCTGTGAACATCCCACTTTTAGACTCTACTTATGAGTAGGATACTTGTGTTCGTTTTTGGTTTGGTTTGATCAAAATGTATATAACTTGAACTTTTTTCCTTCTACAGGTTTACGGAATTTGGTGGTGTGGTCCACAAGAGGCCAGTTCAAGATTTGGCATTTGCGGTTGCGCGATTCATACAAAAGGGCGGATCATTTATCAATTACTACATGGTTTGTTTTTGTCCTTATAAGATCCTGTGTGTTTGTTTTGAAATTTACTATATGATTCAATGTAGGCACGAACTTCGATCTTTTCTAACTGTTAAGTTGAAATACAGTACCATGGAGGCACGAACTTTGGTCGCTCTGCCGGAGGCCCTTTCATCACTACTAGTTATGACTATGATGCTCCACTCGATGAATATGGTAACCTTTAAAACACCCTGATGATGAGTAGGATTCAAACTTAAGAGCTATAGCTTACGTTCTATCTTTGTTAAGAATCCATGGACTCATGGAAAGAACATGTACAACCATGTTAGATTGCTCTCCAGAAGATTCTTTTGAGAAAGGAAAAGATGTTCCACGTAGGAGAAATGATCCACGTCTAGCCGATGTGAGGCTCTAACATTGTGGATGCTTACAGGCTTGATCAGACAACCGAAATACGGCCATTTAACCGAGCTTCACAAAGCAATCAAACAATGCGAACTGGCTTTAGTTTCTGCAGATCCTACTGTCATCTCTTTAGGAACCCATCAACAGGTTCTCATCTTAATTCAACTCTGAATCTTGGTTCAGTTTTCGATAAAAAAAATTGTACTAAATGACTACCACTCTCCAGGCTCACATCTACTATTCCATATCGACTGGACACTGTGCAGCTTTTCTCTCAAACTATGACACAACTAATGCTGCACGAGTCTATTTCAATAGGATGCACCATAACTTACCTCCGTGGTCCATCAGTATTCTACCTGATTGTAGCCGTGTCGTCTTCAATACTGCCAAAGTACGTTCTGTTCTATTCCTCTTTGACCAATATTAGTGTCTTTTGTTGTTTAATGTCTGTTAAACTTGTGTAGATCGGAGTTCAATCAACAAGAATGACGATGTTACCAACTGGTTCGCCGATGGTTTCATGGGAGACATATAATGAAGATCTAACATCTAGTGACCAAGGCGCGACTTTCACCACATTTGGTCTTTTGGACCAAGTAAATGTCACTAGAGATGCAAGTGATTACCTTTGGTATATAACTAGGTAAGTAAGATAATGGGACTGAATAGAAATCTACTGTTCCAAAATCTCATGTTCCCATCCTGTCCTATTAATCACGTAATTAGTTCATTTAATATAAATTTATTTAATTTTTATTTCTTCTCAAGGTGGTTTTGTGTTTTTACAGTGTTGATATTGGCTCAACTGAGTCATTCTTACGTGGTGGGCAGCATCCGAAACTCTTGGTGCAGTCAACTGGGCATGCTCTTCATGTATTTATAAATGGACAACTTTCAGGTATATATTGTTTTTTTGGATAGAAAGACAACTAAGATAAAAGAATCAAATAATTCTATAAAAAGACACAATTTTTATTATAAATACAAAAAAACCAGTGTGAAAGTTAAGTAATAATCTTATTTTAAGTGAAAGTTAAAAGAAACATAACTAATATATACGAATATTACTTGTATCTTTTAAGGTTCGGCTTTTGGAACAAGGGAAAATAGGAGAATCAAGTACAAGGAGAAGGTTCGGCTCCGGTTCGGAAGCAACAAAATCGCGCTACTTAGCGTTGCCATGGGATTATCGGTTAGTTTCTTGTCGTTTTAACATGATGACTCCGCAATGCATGATCAACTCTGACATCCGTGTTTCGTTTTTGGAAGAATATCGGGGGACATTACGAGTCTTGGGAGACCGGAGTCCTAGGTCCGGTGGTTCTGTATGGTCTTGACAGGGGAAAACTGGACTTGACCCACAAAAAATGGTCTTACCAGGTTCACTATAGCCGTATTGATCCTTTTTATGTTGTATGTTCAAGTTATAACACGGAGATGTTCCTCATGGGTTTGCTTATGTTTAATTGAAACAGGTTGGTTTGAAGGGGGAGGCCTTGGGCGTTGTATCTGCAAATAGAATGTCTTCTGTTGCTTGGGTGCAGGGTTCGCTTATCGCCCAAAAGAAGCAACCGTTGACATGGCACAAGGTATGGTGAACCCGCCCGGTGAGTTTGTGGTGAGCTCATTAACAAAGCTAATAGTTTTCGAGTATTTTCAGGCTTACTTCGATGAACCTGATGGTGACGAGCCGTTGGCCCTGGACATGCATAGCATGGGGAAGGGTCAAGTGTGGATCAATGGTCAAAGTATCGGTCGTTATTGGACGGCTCACGCGACCGGTGATTGCCGACGGTGCCATTATACCGGAACTTATCGGCCCCCTAAGTGTCAAGCTGGCTGCGGTAGACCAACCCAACAATGGTAAAGCCATGAACAAGCGCGCACACACACACACCATATACCACATACCAATAGCGGGTATTGGGGTCCAACATCTAATAGAAATAGTCTTTTTCTCTTTTCTATATATTGGAACCTCCCTATGTAAACGGCCCCTTAATCAAAATGATGTAATGTTGCAGGTACCATGTGCCTAGGTCATGGTTAAAACCAAGTGGCAATCTGTTGGTGCTTTTCGAAGAACTCGGGGGAGATCCCACGAGGATTTTACTTGTGAAGAGATCCATGAGAAGCGTATGTGGTGATATGTTTGAATATCACACAAATATCACGAATTGGCATAACGAAACCCAGCCGCTTCGTAGACCAAAGATTCACCTTCAATGTAGTCCTGGCTTGTTGATTTCTTCAATCAAATTTGCAAGCTTTGGTACTCCTTTTGGAAGCTGTGGCACCTTCCAACAAGGAACTTGCCATGCTCCGGCCTCATACGATGTTGTTAGCAAGGTACCACTCGATATGCTTTTAAGTTAAATGACCATTTCCTCGTTCAAATTGGCCTCTTAACCACTTCTCTTTCGGGTTGACCCAAATGTTACCACTTCTGCAATATCCAAATCCACAATAGCTAAAGACCAAAGATTCAACACAAATATGCAATTGTGACGACCAGGTCTGCAATTGCTATAGTAAACTGGCTGAATTGGACATTTTTTTTGTCTTTTACCTATTGCGGACTTGGGTATTACGGATGTAGTAACATTTGGATCAACTCAAGAAATGGTTAGAAGGCCAATTTGAACATGAGAAATGGTCATTTGAGCTAATTTCTTTTTTGTTTTTTTTATATATTGCTGGTTTGGGCTTATACTGCATGCATAAACGCTTGTACTAGCACATGCCATCATGATGATGGGTGAAGGTGAATTCATTAAAACAAAATTGGTTTTATAGGACGTCAATGATGTATAAGTGTCATATGATAGACTACTTTACAGGACTTGGGGGTTGTTTTTCTATGAAGTATTGCATGGATAGAACCATCAATGTGTGGATTATGAAGGTTTTTGTTTGGGAAGGTTTTTTCATAGGCCTAATGAACATGTTTTTTTTAATTGGAATGACAGATTTAGAAAAAAAAAACTTGACTTTCTACATAAAGCCCATGTAAAAGCTTACTAAATAAGCCACATTGTATATAATCAAGCAAAGACCAAACAATCATGTATAATTGACCAAATAAACTGTGAGTCTCATTCAGCTACTAAAACATGTCCTTGAGTTTATATGACTAAATCATAAAGTGTTTTATTTAAAAGTGTTGTAATAAGTTTATAAGACGTTTTAACAAGTTTTTTAGGACATTCTTAAAGTAAAAATCGTATTAGCAATTTTATAGCTACTACTTAAAAAAAATATCTCGTAAAAACAATTGTCCTATAAAAAATATGGTTATATGACACTTCTCAAAAGCTTTAAAAATGTTCTAAAAAATTTGTTAAAGCGTTCAAAAGCATATAATGATACTTTTAGATAAGACATTTTACTGTTTACTTCTATAACTTAAAACTCTATACATTCTTACATTATTGGCGTCCTATAAACTAGATTTTATTGCAACTAGTACACCTGTGCATGTGGGTCGTTAGCCTAATAGTATCCAGAACTGGTAAGAGTCCAGATTGCCAAGGACACGTCAAATGTTTCACCAAAGGAGGGAAGTTTGTGCGAGTATTTACAGTATATGAGTAATGGAATTTGTGTGCTTACAGAGATGCGTAGGGAAAGAGAGATGTGCGGTTGCGATAGCAAACAGCAATTTTGGTGAAGACCCATGTCCAAACACATTGAAACGGTTGTCGGTGGAAGCCATTTGTGCTCCGAGTTCAAGGCTAAATCGGAGGAACTAATTAGCATTTAGAGTAAATTTTGTTCAGTATTTTTATTCAACTTAATGGTATAAGTTAGTTTTTTTTCTTTGGAGGGGGGAAGGAGTCTAAATGATAATGGATCCTACTCCTGGTTCTTAGGTGTTGGTTTATTAGATCATGGATCCTATATATACTCAACATTCATGTCAAGTCTTCTGTGCAGTTCATGGTGATATATAATAATTCAATTGATAAAAATTGTGGTCAAAGGAAATTGTTGAATTAATGTGCTAAGCTTGGAGGATTTTAAGTTTTTTCCACATTAATTAAATCTACGTATGAATTAAGCTATCTGTTAGTTTGGATAAGGTACTCTTTATTTTTAAAACTTTGTTCTTTATCATGTGAAACACTAAACTCATTTATGTCAACAACATTAACGTGTACATCTCGAACAGGTGTAGTAACGACGTATCATCGAGTCACAGTGTTCCATTAGGAGTCGTTTTACCAAACACTTACCCAGTAAGTGTTTACCGGTAAAATTTAACACTATCATATACTTACCGGGTAAGATTTTATTCCACCAAAACGACATTGTATACAACAATTTATCCAGTAAATGCTTACTGTAGTAAGAGTTGTCGCTCTCACTTACCGGGTAAGACTCTTGGTCTTGTCTCGTTCTTACCGGGTAAGATTCTTGGTCCTTACCATCTTCATCCGGTGAGGTACTGTGACTTGGTAAGGGCTTATCTAGGTAAGCATTTGGTAAACGACACCTTAGCCCCAATTCCTTAAAGTATGCTAATACTAAATGTTGAATTTGTTATGTAATTAAGCTTTTATTTTATTAGGATCGAGTGTAGGTGAGAAGAGAAGTTACGATGAAAGGCATAAGAAAAGGTCTCTATCATTGGATCAATTCTAATTGAATGTCAATACTAATGAATTGCATCGAGATGTATCGGATCAATTTTCTTCTAAAACACAATCCATGAGTGGGTATGAATTTAGAAGTGATTTAGTGTTCAGATCTCTTCTTACGTTTTTCACCATGACTTTTTTCATACGATCTTTCTTATTAGTAGAAGTATCTTGGCTTAATTGTTGCAACAACATTAACAGTTACAGAATCTCCATGCCTCATCACATGATCAACCATTAGGCATATTGCATATAGTTTCAAACGACTTAAAAACTTGAAAATGTCTATACATTTGTCATTTATTGCAAAGTATATGGTAGATTCTATGAAAAAGATTAAATATCGTGAGAAGATTAAAAAAAACGGTTAAGATTAAATCTGTGACATCGTTTCATATATGCATAACGAAAATATATTTTTTCAGGGTTTTTTTTTAGTAATTTACATATAAAACTTCTCACAATGTTTAACCTTCTTATTTGAATCAACCCTTTACTGTAAAACACTGCTTATCATCGATAAATATATGACATTTTTTATTTAAGATTTTCCTCGAAATTAAAATATTTTATTTTTTAAAAGAAATTCAAGTTACTAACTCTCATTATAAAAGATGGACCCTATTTCATTAATCTTTTTTATATTTTTATATTTACTAAATGCTATGTTTATAAAACACGTTTTTAAATGATTACTTTAAGTCAGATGTTAGAATCCTTAAAAAAAGGGTGTGATTTTGTTTCACGGTTAAACCGTTCAAGTGTAATACCACTTCTAATTAGGAGAATTGACCAAATAGATATTACAAATAAGATATTACATTATTCTAACAGAATCAAATTTTTTAGGAGTCAAGATAGACGTTTTACACTGTTATAAATTTCAAATCTTCTCAATAAATACTCCATCAATCTTTCTATTCATCGTAATCCAACACCAACTTACTCATCATCATTGTTAAAATGTGGTGGTCCGTAACAGTGTTATCATTTTTATTAAACGGAGTCTGTGAAGCAGGTATCACAAGTTCATTCATTAGAGTGGCCGCACCTTCCATTGAGATCCCCAAAGAAGATTTCCCTCCACCTCACGGTTACAATGCACCTGAACAGGTTCTTATTTAAATATCGAAAACTATGTCGTACTAAAATACTTTATTTTGTGACACTTATATATGGTTGAAAAAATATCGACGCTTAGGTCCATATAACACAAGGTGATTACACCGGAAACGGTGTGATAGTCTCGTGGGTGACCCCTGTAGAGAAATACCCAAACTTCGTGACATATTGGAAAGCCGATGAGAAAAATGGTATCAAACGCAACCGTGTGCGTTCAAAAATCACCACTTACCGATACTACAACTATTCTTCCGGCTACATTCATCACGCTACAATCAATAGACTACAGGTATATTCAGTTTAGGTCGATTTGGTTTAGTTTTGAATGATACGATTTGTCCTTGGTTTAACTTTTTCAAACAGTCAATTCGATTCAATTTGGTTATTTTCAAAAATTAAACTCAAACTGAATCGAACCATTCGTGTTTATATGTTTGTTTTTCTAATACTTCTTGTATATAAATGTATTGGTTTGCATATACACACAGTATAACACAAAGTACGCATATGAGCTCGGGCATGGTAACGGCACACGCCAATTTTGGTTCATGACACCTCCCGAAATAGGCCCCGATGTTCCCTACACATTTGGGCTCATTGGTGAGTAGTACCTGATATCCAAAATATTAACTATTAAAAGACAATCATTATTATAGCGCTAATGAATTTGATAAATGGATTTGATATTTATATATCAGTTTGATGAAAATTGACACGTATATAGGTGATTTGGGACAAACGCACGCATCGAAACAAACCTTGGACCATTACTTGGCTACCAAGAAAGGCCAAACTGTGTTGTTCCTCGGTGACTTCTCATACGCTGATGTTCATCCTTTTCATGATAACGAGAAATGGGATACGTACGGCCGGTTTGTCGAGAAGAGTAATGCTTACGAGCCATGGATATATACCGCCGGAAATCATGAATTGGACCTTGCTCCTGAAATCGTAAGAGTCAAAAAAATTAATACAAACTACTTGAGAAAATGAAAAAAATGTCATATGATTTATCAATTTAATTCGTCAGAGAATTTAATTTGTCAGATAAGAAAAAACTAACGCATTATAAGCACAATTGCATTTTATGTCCATTTTGCATCAAGAGTTTGTTACATTTTTGCAACTTTAACGTATTTTTTTTTTTTGTGAAATATTTGTTTTCAGGGAGAATACGTTCTTTTCAAGCCATACAAGCACCGATACCGTGTCCCTTTCCGAGCTTCCGGAAGTACATCGCCACTTTGGTATTCCATTAAGCGTGCATCGGCACACATCATCGTGCTTTCTTCTTACTCAGCTTTTGGTAATAATCGGTTTCAAATATTTTAGTCATCAAGGATGTTTATATTTTTCTAAATGTATAATACAACAAAAATTCACACATGTTGCTCATCGAACGTGAGAGTTGAACACTTGACCTCTAAGAAGGTTGGGATCTACCAGTAACCCATTACATTGCAGATGTTTAATCTTAACTAACATGGATTTATTCTTTCGGGTTTTTTTTTAGCGATATACACTCCTCAATATACATGGCTAGAACAAGAACTCACGAAAGTTAACCGAAGCGAAACCCCATGGCTGATTGTTATGATGCATTCGCCGATGTACAATAGCAACAACTACCATTTCATGGAAGGGGAAACCATGAGAGTTGTTTTCGAGCCGTGGTTTGTCAAATACAAAGTCGATCTCGTGCTTTCCGGTCATGTTCATTCATATGAACGCTCGGTATGCGTTTATTGCTTTCTAGTTATGCATTATTTAATCATATTTCAAACGTTACGTTTAATTTGTGTCTTTATATATAGGAGAGAGTATCAAATATTCAATATAATATAACCTCTGGATTAAGTACCCCAGTCAAAGACCCTTCGGCTCCAGTCTACATTACCGTTGGTGATGGCGGAAACATAGAGGGTATCGCCGATAGGTAACTAACCACACTCGTTTTTAACGATCTTGAAATGAGGGATTAATTTCTTTTCATCAAACGTTCTCTTGAAATGATCGATTGTGTTATTTTTACAGTTTTACGGAACATCAACCAGATTACTCGGCTTTCAGAGAAGCGAGCTTTGGGCATGCGTTACTCGAGATAAAGAATCAAACGCATGCCTTCTATAGTTGGCATCGTAATCAAGACAATGTGGCGGTTTCCGGGGATTCGATTTGGTTTTATAATCGTCATTTTTATCCTAAAGAAGAGAGTAGCTCTAAAGGGTAGTAGTTTTCGAATTCAATCGATTTAGGAATATAATTTTTTCAATTTTCGATTTGGGTAGTTGCTAATTCCGTCAAGTTATGATAGTTTTTTCAGTTGTTGGTTTTAATTTAAAACATATTTAATATTTAATATTTATGGGCAGATTTTAAAGTTGGTTTCTTAAAATGCGTAATTTATCCTAAAATTGCATGAAAAAATAACGTATTTTAACTCGATTTTTATTTTACATAACGTATTCAAAACTTTCATTTTGGTACCTAAGATGTAAAATTTTAAACATTTAAGTACCCGGATGAACAAATCAATTTCAAATTTTTATGAAGCATATTATAGTTTCATAGTGGTGACATGACAATATGGAGGAAAGTGTAGACACCATGTTCAACCGTTCAACTTCTCTCATTTTCATTCAGTTTTAGTATGTTAATGGTTTAACATAATTTCATTGCTCATAAGTGAACATGTTTTCATAACTAAAGTATATAATGCTTATTCTATGTAAACATATGAAAACATAGAATCACCAAGTGAAATTTCCAAGCAGTGGACATATCACATGTGAACATGTATGGATATATACAATCCTGTTTGAAATATTTGAACGTAATCATATTGTTCATAAATAAACTCATGTTCAAATAAAAGAGGAGATACCTATGTGTATATTAATGTTTATAATGACGGGTTTTTTTTTATTAATGACAATTGATTAATATACAGATGAACATTTACAAAACATTAATATACACATGGGCAGTTACAGAACATTAGATGGTAACATATTATATTATTAGTTATTATAAAATTGTCATCATAAATGTCATCTATTGATTCACAAGATGAATGGTTGTGATAATTCATAAAGTTAACACTATAAATTGAGTTAACAAAAGAACCTATCCATGTATATAAATATATATATATACACACACACACATACACATATATAAGGGAGAGATAAAACGCAAACTAAGCTATTTGTACAAACCATGAAAATCGTCGATTCATTGTTTATTTTAGTGAAAAAATTTCATGAAATTGCTTAATACGATTAAATTGTTTCAAATAAGTCATTTCATTATGAAAATGTTTCATATATTTTTGTCTTTATGTAAAATTAAATTGTTTCATGTATTTTTCATTTCGATTAATTTTGTTTACTAAAATTAATAAAATGGAGATGATAATGTCTATAATTATTTAAAATAAATTATTTGAAACAATTTTATCATATTAAACAGCTTCTTGAAACAATTTCACTAAATAAACAAAAAAATCGACGGGTTTCACAATTTGTGCAAATATTTGGTTTGCAAAATACCCCTCCACACACATATATATGCGCGTGCGCGCGCGCACACACACACACACACACATATATATATATATATATATATATATAGACTTGGGATCATGTGAGACCAAGGCCGTAAGACCAATTCTCAACCTTTGGATTATATCTGCAATCTGAACATTTATAATCACAAAATTGCCATGAGACTTCTCAAAAATCACAAAATTGCCACCGTGCAACTTTAGACCATTAGATCATTAGCTTATAAAGTTGATCAATGAACATAAATTGGTCTTACGGGTCTCACGAAAAACCTTTGATCTCACGTAAACCCAACTCTCTCTCTATACATATCTCACTGAAATATCTTGTATGTGTTTGTGAGTGTGAAAAGTGGAAGAAGGAACCTTAACCAATCTAAAAACTAAAATTTCATACTAAGCTCTACAAAGGAGAATAAGAAAAATAAAACCTTGTGCTTATTTGGGTTTTGCGCGAGACAAGATTATATACAAAACATGACACCATGGGCGGATCTACATTAGTGTATATAGTTGTACGGGACATCACTTTGTGTCTACGACCTTGTGTAAAAAAATATACGACCTTATTATTTTGTTATATGCAACCGTATGTATTTTGAAACTATAACGAGAACACAAGTTTTCCTTCGTAGAGTTGGTTAACAAGACTTTCTCCCTTCCCAAGTGCAGATTTGAATCCTTTTGTGTCATCTACTTTGTTTTTAACTTTTAATTTTAGATTTATTATGTTTTTTTAAAACAATATGCGATAAAGTACTCAAATATATGACCCCACACATGAGAACCAAGAAACTAACCAACTGACCGATGATTATTTTGTGAAAATTATTCATATCTCTGTGTTTTATAGACAAGTTGTGTAACCACTTGAAAATTCCTAGATCTGTCTCCACATAACACATGCTCGAACCAATAAACCGATCCCTAATTCGGTTTTGCCTTAAACTCGAACCTGCATTCACTTAACCCGAATGCAATTGGATCAAATGGATTTTGGATCCATTTGGAATTATGACATTTCAAGTAATTAAAACCAAATGTTTTAACAAATCTGTAACAATAACACAAGTATAAGGGGCATTCATGTATATCATGCAAACATTAGGGGCATTAATGTATATCCTGCAAATATTAGGGGCAATAGTGGAAACATAAACGAGTCGGAGGAAGTCCCATGGCAACTCTCAACTACACCGCCGAAGACGCTCGAAACCGTGGTTATTACCCAGAAATTTATCTTCGGTGTCACTATCGATCTTCTACTTTTCCCTTTTTAACAAATCAGTGGATTAAATTAAGGAAAATTAACAAACGATTGCATCATCATCAACATGAGGAAGCGAGATTTAGCAATCCTTATGCTTGCCGCTTTCGCCATTTTCTTCTCCCTTCAGGTAAATCAGGTTATCTAAATTGATAGTTTTGAATTTTGATCGACCACAAAACCCTAGAGGTGTTTAAGTGATTGATTTTACTTTCTTAGAAATTTGTACTTGTAGTCGAACTTACACGATTACTGCGTCTAACTAATCTGTATATGACATTAGCACGAAGGTGATTTTTCGTTTAAGGAGGCGTGGTACCATCTATCGGATGAATATCCGATTAAATACGAGGGAGAACGTCTTCCGCCACCTATTGTGTCCGATCTTAATGGAGATGGAAAGAAAGAGGTTCTTGTGGCTACCCATGATGCTAAAATTCAGGTATTTTATATCGAGTTGTTACAAGGGAATTTAGGGTTTAAAATTGAAGCTCGTTTAGGTATGTTTGGGAAATCATGGAATTGGTTGAGTGCACCATTAGTTTCAAAGTTTGATCATTCTCTTGTAAATTTTAATGAAAAATACATGTCATGTCCCATTTAAAACTTTTTATCTTTCTTGTATGATAATGAGTTGAATTATTCAATAGACATCAGTAGCTGAGCTAAATCACAACATCGTGACATTTCATCTTACTTCTCATAATGGTCTAGGTTTTGGAACCTCACTCTAGGCGTGTGGATGAAGGTTTTAGTGAGGCTCGTGTTCTTGCAGAGGTGTCCCTGTTACCTGATAAGATCCGTGTTGCTTCTGGTAGACGGGCAGTGGCCATGGCCACAGGAGTGGTTGATCGATCTTTCAAGCGTGGTAACGTACAAAAACAGGTCTTGGTTGTTGTGACGTCTGGTTGGTCTATAATGTGTTTTGATCACAACCTCCAAAAGTTATGGGAGACAAACGTACAGGTGAGCACAGAGAGCAATTTTGCAATCTCAGTATCTGTGGTCAAATTCACACCTCATTTCACTTGGTCCATTTCTCTAGTTCCTCTCTGCTTGATATACATTCTGGTGGTTTCAGGAGGACTTCCCACACAATGCTCACCATAGAGAGATATCTATCTCTGTAAGTAATTATACATTAAAACATGGAGATGCCGGGCTTATAATTGTTGGAGGGCGGATGGAAATGCAGCCACATGTATGTCTTTATCTGTTCTGTTCTTGGTTTTCATTGCTATAACGTTGTTTGGTTGCTGCCATACTACCACTTTGTGCATTAATTCTCCTGTTTAGCTTGTATTAATTATGACATAAGTTAGTGAGTTATGTAGTAGCTAGAAATGAGTCATCAGGGAAAAGCAAGTAGGAGACTCTGCCGAAATGTGTACCTGCATTTATGATAGCTTTGTTGTATGTGGAAGAATTAGAGAGAATTTTGATTCTGAGATTACTAGAAGTAACAAGGGATTTCATTCTTTGTTGTGGAATAGTCATTTTTTATTTGAGTTGGTATCTCATTGCACTTAGCCCTTTTGTTGAACATGTAGAAGTATTCTTAGTTTTGATTAGCTTGTACGCAATTGTATATAATTCACATTCTAATTTGAAGGTTATGGAGGGACTGAACAAGAATTTAGTACAGCAATTTTGCTTTACGTTGAGTGGCGGACTTTATGCCCTTTTGCTTCATAGGGTTTACTAAGCTTTTGCAATTCACTTCATAAGGTGCATATTTGCCAAATTGATCAACTAGTTTTGCAAAACATGGCACCTAACTTCTTATGAGTCAATTCAGTTTAACTTCATAAATAATTGCAGAAATATAAGGACAAACATTTGACCTTTCTATTGATTACTTCAACTCCCCACTACCATCACCAACTTGCACCCACAAAAGCCAGTCTACTAGGGAAACAAATTGAGAAAGAAGACATTAGTTTCTTTCCAAGTCTTTTGACTTGATTCCTCTTTTCTCGTTGCAATCTTCTTATTAATAAAGATTCTTTAAAATGAAAATTCTCTCCTCTCTCATGATACCCTATGCATTAAGTCTGTATACTACTGCTAGAATTTAGCGAGAGAGGAACTTTTTGTGTCCTACTAAATCACGTTTCTGTTTCCATTCCTACTAGGATAGGGTATTCTTGTTGGTTTTGCTGCTAGTTTATAGCAATTCTGGGAGGCTCTGGGGTAAAGTTTGGAAGGCCACCGTTTAACTTTTAAACCGGATACATCATCTTCGTAGATGACTTCTTTGATATTTTCTGTGTTAAACATAAAATTGAATACCAAATTCAACTTCTTTTATTTGTGAAATTGATCACACGGTGTTCAAGGGTGAACATGCGATTTTCTTATACTGATCCCACCTTGCCCAAACCCTCTCTAATTAGTATCTGTACTGTTTCAGATGCACTTAGATCCTTTTGAAGAAATTATAATGGCTGAGGAAAGTGCCGACCAGCATAGGAGAAGTGCAAGCGAAAAAGAAGTAAGGAAGTCCAAATTGATTTCTTATCAATTTTTTCTTGTGTGTGAATAACATTCTTCTCTCAACACTCGACATTTTGTTTGAGGATAAAATTTTTGGATGTAGTCTGCAGATACTCCAGGAGCTGTGGATTTACGCCATTTTGCTTTTTATGCTTTTGCGGGGCGAAGTGGTGCACTCCGCTGGAGTAGAAAGAATGAGGTAATATGAAGTATATATTTCAGGAGTGGACCCTTGAATATAGTACATTTGGACTTTGAGTCTTGTTACTGTGTTCCTTATTTGGCTGATAACATATGGTTGAAATTGGGTCTTGTTACTATTTTTCTTGTTTGGCTGCTGGCATGCTGTTGCTACGTCTATTTAAAGATTGCATGCATTTTCACTTTATTTAGCTTTACCTGAGAAGTTGTAAGGATTGATCTGAGCTTCTTATTTACTTATGATTTGGGTCATTGCCAGCATATGGATGGTAGAGGAGATAGTTTCTCCTGTTGGTTTAGGTCATTGCCATTACATGCTTCTTTGAAGGACTCTGGTTGATTGTTCTGCGACTTAATTCTTTCCACGTAAATTATGTGACCTGAAGTTGAGCGGATATTAGTTTATATCGAATGTTGCATAGCTATTCTTATGGTGATTCTTGTATATTTTATTTCCCTTCAAACTCAAATTAATTGACACATGGAAACTATCTTTTTCTATTTACTAACATTTATTTGTCTAAATAAAAGAATGTTGAAGCGGCTTCTTCAGATGAATCTCCACTAATTCCACAACATAATTATAAGCTTGATGTTCATGCTCTTAATAGGCGTCAACCAGGAGAGGTACACGAAACTCAAAATGATATTGAGACATCAATGCGACTTAGTAATGTCGCTTGATAAAAATTTAATGTCATTTTTTGCTGAACATCTTTCAACTGTAGTTTGAATGCAGGGAATTCAGAGAATCAATCCTTGGAACTATGCCACATCACTGGGTGGGTACAAGGCTTTTTTTTCCATCTCTGGGTAGAGCTCATTGTTTATTCAGTTCTTTTTTCCTTTTAAAACACCTGACAAGTTTCCCTCTCAATCAGGATAGGCGGGAAGATACAATGCTAAAGCTGGCACACTTCAGACGCCACAAGAGGAAGGCAGTGAAGAGAACACCTGGAAAAACGTCAAACTACCCATTCCACAAGCCAGAGGAAAACCATCCTCCAGGGAAGGACTCTACGAAAAAGATTTCGAACTTGATTGAGAAAGCTGCAAGTTTTGCTAATTCAGCGAAGACTAAGAAGGTAAAACTTACAGCTGCTTAGGTAAACTTCTGAAGCTTAGGAACATGTGCATGAATTTCAGTAGTGGTGTATTTAATCTTGTATCTCTCTGAGAAGCTGATTCTCCCATATCTAAAGAAACAATGCCGAGTTGGCAAGATACTTGGTTTTGTATAGTGATTATCTCTTCAACTTTTTTCTTATGAAACAATATTTCCCTACTAAATTCTGGCACTGAGAGCTTTTTTATTCGTTGGTTGGAAATATTTGGACATATATCATCTTTATAACTCCTAATTCGGCGGCATTGTCAAATAAGAAAGTCTAAAATTGGCTCTCTTGACACAGAAAGTCTCCAATCATGCTATTAAAACCAGTGCCTGTATAACTTGTCGATGTTGAAACTTAATTGAACTTGTGAGGATCTATTTGTGTCAGGGGCCCTGGATATGTAACTTTTATTGGCCTTAAAATTGGCCAGGAGTTTAGAACCAACATGTGGTCAGATGAAACCTCTTTTAAGGGCCTGATTTTTAGATGTTCTTATTTGTTTGTGAAAGTTTACAGCCAATTTCCCATGTCACTGAGGGAAGTTTATGATTGCTTTGACACCAACGCCTTCTTGTGGCTGATGCAGGCATCACCTTATGTTCCCACAATTACAAATTACACGCAGCTCTGGTGGGTACCTAATGTTGTGGTGGCTCGTCAAAAGGAAGGGATTGAGGTTTTGCATTTGGTATCTGGTCGCACATTATGCAAGGTAACATGCTGCGCTTAAAAGTCATCTGAATAACTTACCACACAAATCAATGTAGCTTAGTTTGGCAAGCTATGCTTTTAGTTTTCTGTACCATTTATTTGTGACATCAACCATTAGTTCCTTAGTCTTCATGTGTGAGACTTTAGAATGTTGAGCCAAATTATGCAGCATGATGACAAATGTGCATGGTAATTGTTTGTGAAAGATTGTGATTGGGTGTTCATAGTCTCATATATCTAGGCTGCAGCCCGTTAGCATTTACCATTATAAATGCATGAGCTGGATATTCTACTTGGAATATGGAAAATAAGCATTAAGGAGTAGTGCCGGGTGCTTTCCCTCATGTATGTGCCAAGAAAAGGTACCTTTCCTTGTTTATCTGGTTGTCTTTTTCCACACCTTGTCTGTAAGCATCTAGTTTTTGTACAATTGCTTGGTACCTATACAAGGACAGAGCTTGCCTCTTTTAGTTTAAAATAGAAGTGTAGTAACCTCAAATTTAAACCCCGCTGGCCTAGGGAACTACGAACTACTAGTTTAGCCTATCTGGCCTAACCAGCTTGTTAAAACAAACTTCTCGCTCCCACCGGTCAGCTGATGGAAATGGAGAAAGGGGCGGCTATCTAGTGGGAGTCGTTAAGTTCATGATATGAGCAGCTGTTAAAAACTCTACCTACAAATATCACTACTTAACTTTATCTTAAAAATCATAGCAGGTTCAAAATACCTAAAAAGTTATAGAAGAGTAAAGAAGCTAGGGTTAGTTTGTTTCTAATGTTAAGGTTAAGTTCAATAAAATGACTCTGAAGTAGACACTTAAGTTTCACTCTATATTTTCCTACAATCAGTCAATCATAATTCTTGCCAAGTACATAAGCTTCTACCATCATTATTGTTAACATCTTTTGTTTCCTCATATATACTTGGAAAGACAATAAGCAAGACCACTAGGTCAAAACACGAAGGTCAGGATCTGCCAGTTACTTGGTCTTCTTACTTAGAGTACGTGTAGAAAATGTTGGGTTGACAGATATTTGTTAGGAACCTAAGCCTACTTGTTGAAGAGTGTAGTGTACCCAGGTGATGCTTTTAGGCGGGTATAAGTATTGCAGAGTTGATGAGTATCCAGTCAAACGTTGCTGTATACCTTGATCAACCTTGGAAGGGGTATATAAGGAGTAATCTCTAAGCGAACGCATGATGGCAAATCCCCTCATGGAGTATTACCCATTGGTCCCAAGATGCATCAGAGTTAAAAAAAAGGTCCCTAGATTGGAAGTCCCTTAGTTAGACCTAGCGAACCACGATCTTATGCTGGTATTGTGGCTGGCAGGATGTTAGCCTGTAATACACTCCTAATTCTCATTACAATAGCTAAGACTCTATTTAGAGTTACCTGACAGTAATCTAACCATCACTGCCATGGATGGTTAGCATGCTTAAGGACCTGATCCTACAGTTGAACGTGTTGAAATAAACCAATGAAGCTATGATCAAAGAGATTAAATGCTGGATACTGGATTTTTTTTGGGTCCAATCTTAGATTTATACTTGAGCCTTGCCAAAACTTGGCACATGGTGAACCACTTCACTTGCTGGAACTGCAGATGGAGTAATGTATCCTTGGCCAAATATACACCTGAGTTTATATTATATACGTGCAATCTAAGTTGATTTCACAGTAATGTTGTGGAGAATATGTTCCACAGTTCATCACATAAGCTGAATATAGGATGGGCTTGGGATTTTGATGATCCCAAGAAAATTATACAGAAATAAAGAGAAGAAAAGTCAATTTTGTAGATGTTTCTATATTATTCAATTGTAGTGTATGATTGTTAAATCAGAACTTCGTTTCTGAAATCTTACTACAATATCTGGAAGCTTTACTGAATTTCTTAAACATGCCTCTTTTTGTGTTGCCCTTTTCACATGGTTATTGTTAGCGATCCTGCATACATATTAGAAGAATGTTGGTCATAATATCCTTGCATCCCCTTGAATGATGATTGGAAAATGTACAATGTTATCCTTTGATGTGGCCCCCTGGAGGGTAACTGTATAAATGTTGTTGTTCATGTATCATGAACATATCATTATTTCGAGCCATATATTTCTATTTCAATTTCTCGGAAATTTACTTGGTAAATTTCTTCTTCCAGCTTCATCTTCAAGAGGGTGGCCTGCATGCTGATATTAATGGAGATGGTGTTCTTGATCATGTCCAGGTTTATAGATTTGATATTATGAATTCAATATTACATTTTTGTGGCTTAATCATAACTTGTTTATTTTAATGAGAGATATGGTAAGAGAAACAGACAATCATCTCCTAAAATTTTGATGTTTCCTAGCAAAGCAAAATAATGATACAGGGCTGCTGCTTTTAGCAGCTACAACTGAAGTTATTTTTGTGGGGGGTCAGAAAACCAGTAAGATAACTCGTTTTTGTGATCTCTTACAAATGCAACAAGGTAAAATGGTGAGGTGCTATTAATATTTAGGTACCTGTTACAGTATAATGTCAAACATAGTGACCGTTTATCATCATGATCCCTCCACTTTGCACCGTTACATGGAGTTACATGGAGACACATACACCCCTACGATAAGAAAGGCATGAGGTATTGGATCCTTAGGTCCCGTTTGGTTTGTAGGATTGGATAGGATTTGGAGGGATTTAGAATTCATTTCCATTCCAATCCCATGTTTGGTTTGAAAGATTGCTTGGATTTTTGAAATCCCGAGATTTCATTAAAATCCTACAAACATGGGATTTAGAAATCCGATGGGGTTCGTTGGTATTTCACAGGATTTCGTAGGATTTCTATGAAATAGTGTTTTAGATCATGTTAAAAACATTTGTTTTTTTTATAATAATCAATTAATAAATTGGTAATTTAATTATTTTCATAATTATTTATAATTTGTTTTTATAAATAATGGAATCCAGTTCCATTTTAAATCCTACAAACCAGACACACTAAAGATTTCAAATCCTTCTAAATCTAAATCCTTCTGAATCCAAATGCTTCCACGAAATCCAAATTCCTCAAAATCATTCCAACAAACCAAATGCCCCCTTATTGTTTTTCTCCTTGGAGGTGTATTCTTTATCTTGATAATTTCTTGAGTTGACCACAGGTTTCATGGCCACAAGTTATGTGCATCCGTGGAGGACATCACTAGCTATTCAACTGTTTTTATGTTGTTTTCTATTTGGTCTCTCATTAAACTTGTGATGTATGCAGGCTGTTGGGGGAAATGGTGCCGAGCAAACTGTTGTTAGTGGATCAATGGAAGTGCTACGACCTTGTTGGGCTGTTGCAACCTCTGGTGTACCAGTACGAGAACAACTCTTTAATGTTTCAATATGCCATCACTCTCCTTTCAACTTATTCCCTCATGGAGAATATTCCAGAAGCTTTGGACGAGCTCTAGATGTAAGTTCACTTGAGGTAGCAACACCAATCCTCATCCCAACAAACGATGGCCATAGGCATCGCAAGGGAAGCCATGGAGACGTTGTTTTTCTAACAAATCGCGGGGAGGTATGCTTCTTCTCTAGCTTGAGTATGTAATTTGATATTCTTTTTTTGCAGTAAGATATGATGGTTACCATCACTAGAAATCAATTTCTAAACAAAAGCAGTATCAATCTTTTTCTAGAGCAGTTTTTTGTCAAAAAAAAAATGTTTCCTGGTTATAAGTAAACTTAAGGGGATGTTTGGTTGGTTTTCCATCAAGTCCTAGATGTGAATAAAGTTGTCTGTATGGATTAATCTATCTGTATAGATTGTGAAGGTTTTTGTTTGGAAGGGTTTTTTCGTAGATGGATTGAGCTTGTTTTTTAATTGGGAGGGGCAGGTTTCAAAAAAACTTGGCTTTTTCTGCATAAAGCTCCCTCCTAAAAGCTTATTGAACAAGTCACTATCATTAAGCCACTAACAAACAGTTGTCTATAGCTGATAGAGTAAGCTATGAGTCTCATTAAGTTGGTAACAAACGAGCCCCAACTATTGGAAACTAAAGAGTGGTATGTATGACATGGGGCAGGTAACAGCATACACTCCAGGGTTGCATGGGCATGAAGCTGTTTGGCAATGGCAGCTGTTGACTGGCGCGACATGGTCAAACCTGCCGTCGCCAGCAGGAATGATGGATGCTGGTTATGTGGTTCCCACTCTGAAGGCGTTTAATTTGCGGATGCATGATAATCAACATTTGATCTTAGCAGCCGGAGATCAAGAGGCTCTAGTGATTTCTCCTGGAGGAAGTCAACTAGCATCTATCGATCTTCCTGCACCACCAACTCATGCGTTGGTTGATGATGACTTCTCAAACGATGGTTTAACAGATCTGATTGTTGTGACTTCAAATGGGGTGTATGGGTTTGTTCAAACCAGGCAACCTGGTGCTCTCTTCTTTAGCACTCTTGTTGGGTGCCTAATTGTGGTGATGGGTGTCATATTCGTGACCCAACACTTGAATTCCATGAAGGGGAAACCTCGAGTTGCATCGGGTCAGCTTTAAGGCATATGGTGCGAGTCTTGACGGAAATGTTGTGGCATGGGCCCAGACACCCAGTAAAAGATGAAGCAAAGATGGTATACAAAAGGTGAGTCTTTAAATCAACAATGACTTGGTTTTTATGTTTGAGGTTCGGTATGATTTAGCTCTAGTACCAAACCAAACCCTTAGAGTTGTCTTTTTATTTCAAGTATTTTAGTATAAGAGGGTTTTTGTATACAAATCTCTGTTGTCTCGAAGCACATTTAACCATGTATTATACTCTTGTTGCCCCGTTAAAAGCCCGCTTTCAATTTTGTATGTTCATTTGGTTTACAGCAGTAGGTGTTGATTGTGAATTTAAAACCCGACTCCTTTCCAGTCGTTTGTATGTTTTGATTGTCAACATAAAAATCTTTTGCATAATGGGCTCGTCTAGGCAAGAAAGAGGGATTTCCCATTTATGAAAGCTGTGATGGTACCCTGTAGCTTTGAGTTGAGACGTTGTAAGCACTTCAAGTATGTTGCTTTGGTATCTGTTTTAAATGGCATGAGGTGAGGTTATGACATTTTTCAAGACGTTAATTATGTTCAACTTTAACCTAATCTCGTTTTTTTATTGTTCATCAATGATCCAATCTAACCTAAAATATTATTTTATAAATAAATAAATATATATATATATATATATAATTCTTTATCATATATAGTTATTATTTTTAAATTTTAAATAAAAAATAGATTAATTGGACTGTTGCATATTTTAAAACATAATTATAATTATAAAAAATTTACCATACAATTGAAAATAAAATAAAACAAATTATTAGAAAAATATAAAATTACATATCTAAAATATGTCGGATTAAGGGATTGAAAAATATAATTTTTTTAGTTATTTTTGCTAGAATTACTTTTTTTAATTAGACAAGTTTTATGCTAAAAAGTTTAAAACGTACCAATCATATTATAACATGTAGCAAGAATAATAAAAAGGAAAAACAACAATTTCGATCTACAAGAGTGATAAGATTGGACCGGTTATTTTCTTTTTTCTTTTTCTTTCTCAAAATTTTCTCTGGCTTGTTCACAATCTCATTTTAGAGACCAGACTCAAACATAGTCCACTTAATAACCTTTTTAATTAATTAAATCATAATTTTATTATAAAAACAGAGATATCTTTCTTATTTTTTTAATTAAAGATAAAATAGAAAAACAAGCATTTATTTTTAAAATTACATACTTATTTTTAGACAAATTGAAGTAAAAATATGAATAGTTATTTTGAGATAAATGAAATATATTTTAATAGTAAGGACCAAGAATCTTATCTGGTAAGAGCAAAGACAGGAACATAGAGTCTTACCCAGTAAGTGAGGACAACGACTCTTACCACAGTGAACACTTACCACGTAAATTATTGCATACGATATCATTTTGGTAGATTAAAATCTTACCCGGAAATTAAGTGATAATATTCAATTTTGCTGATAAACACTTACCCAGATAAACATTTGGTAAACGACCCCTAACATATTTGATAATTTAATGCCATGGTTACACATTTTAAAATTTCCAATTGATGCGTCGATTGTGTTATGGTTGCTTGAAACTAAAAACTTACGATTTTAGGATTGTTCTTCATCACATTGTAACAAAGAAAGACTAATAAGTTGTTTACCAAACGTTTAACATTTTTTGCCATTAAAACAAATTATTAGTAGTCGTTTTTTACCCGATAAACACTTGTCGGTAAGATTCTTAGGTCGTTGCAGTGCTCATCTGGAAGGTAAATAGTAAGACATGTTAAGCGCTTACTGGCAAAATTCACTACTCTCACTTACCTTGTCAGGTAATATTCTCGGTCATTAAGATCGTTCTCTTACTCGATAAGCGCTAATGAGGTAAGACTCTTCTCCCTCACTCACAAAGTAAGAATCTCAACTCTTGTTATGCTTCTTAACCTTGCTTCAACCAGTAATTATGGTAAGTGGCATCCTGTAAGCGTTTACCTGATAAGCATTTGGTAAATGGTCTTTTTATGAATTTAACAATTCTTGAAGAAAATGAAACTACACCGATCCTCAAGCTATTCTTAAAACACTTTTGGTAATTTTAACTCACAAGCACCATTGAATAATCCTAAACTTTAAGAGTAGATTACATTTTTCGTCCCTGTGGTTTGTCAAAAATTATAATTTTCATCCTCGTGGTTTTGTTAAAAATTTTGATTTTCATCCTTGTGGTTTAGATATGACGGTTTTTGTCCTTATAATTTGCAAATTATTGATATTTAAATCCTTATGCTTTATAATTCATTGTTGTTTCAGTCTCTATGATTTAAAATTCTTTACTATTTTGATCCCTTGTACTTAAAAAAGTAAGAATTAGTTCAAGAACAAAAATAGCAGTAAATTACAAATCATAGGGACGGAAATCATAATTTCTAAACCCCAAGGATAAAAATCATAATTTTTAACAAACCATAGAGACGAAAAAGGTAATTTACTCTAAACTTAAACATCATACAACATGAATTTTGTCCAATTAAATGATTGGCAATGTACATATACCATGAAAATATCTTGGTAAAGATTTCAAAGGATAATCTCTCTCTGACACACACATGGGTACTTTTGGAATACCAGAAAAATGGTAGTACATAAATTACATATATGAAAACTATCAAAGGTGATATTTGATTACAATTTAAATGACTACATATGAGTTATTGTTAGTGACTAAAGAAGCCAAATACTTTGGGTTGTTTACTAAATACTTATTGGGTAAGTGCTTATCGGGTTTCACTTATCTTACCAAGTGAGCATGGCAAAGACCGAGAATCCTACCCGGTGAACGTTTACCGGGTAAAAGACGCTTACCAACGATCCATTTTATGACCGAAAATGTTACCTAATAAGGTAAGTAAGGGTGGTGATATTTCGGTTAAGCGTTTAATATCTTTCCTGATGAAGGATTAGAGATGGTAAATTTAACAAGATCAAAGTTTTAAAAGTTGAGGGTCAAAAGTAATTATTAAAACTTATTTGAAGGAATTATGAATATGATGGACCTTTTTTGAGAGACAAAAAAGGGGAATGCAGAAAGGTGGCAAGAGATGAACATGCCCTTGTCTTTTGGATCTTCACAATCTCCTTACTAAATCTTTACTTCCTAACATTTCCTCTCTCTCTCTCTCTCTCATGCAACCACCACCACCATGGCCACCGCAAAACTCCGTCCCAGCAAGCGCTCCTCCACCGGTTCCCATACATCCACCGTCACCACCCTTGTATTTGTCTGCATATGCGGTTTAGGTCTCTGGATGCTAACTTCTAACTCCTATGTTTCCCCTAACAAGTCCACCACCAGAGTCTCTGACTCCGCTGCTTCCGAACTCCGTTCACGTAAAATCCCCATCGATAGTCCCGTTTTCGAAGACAATCCCGGCAATCTCCCCGAGGATGCCATCAAAACCGACGATGCTTCCGCATCACGCAACAATGATCCCACTGTTGGCTCAAATGAAACCAAAAATACTACTGAGGGCAATGCTGATGAGATAGGAAATCGAGAAGATATTAAGAAACAGGACGAAACTGCGAAGGAACACCAGACGGATATGTCGGGTTCAGAAGTTGACAAACAACCGGAAGTTGATGAAGAACTGATACGCAAAACAGAAGGGAAGGCTGGGAAGGAACACCAGACAGAAATGCCATTGGATACGGAAGTCGACAAGCACCCAGAGGTGGATGAAGAACCGAAAACAGAAGATATAGAAAAGGGAAAAGACACAAAGCAACAGGACAAAGCTGTGAAGGAACATGAGACGGAAACGTTGGGTTCAGAAGTTGGCAAAGCCCCGCGTATGTCAGAGGTTGACGAAGAACCTAAAATCAAAACAGAAGAGGTTCAAATATCAGAGGAAAGTACAATGACTCAAAATCAACGAATTGAGGAGATCCCAATGGTTAAGAACACTACTGCAGATGAAGATCATCTGAGAGGAAAAAGCGACCATGTGGAGAACAATGAAGAACACCATATAACAGAGGAAGAACAAGAAAACAGAATGGAGAAACACCAGCAACAACAAGAAGAATCCCAAAATGAGGAAACAAGTACGGATCAAACACAACACGATGAAGAGAACACGAATGAACCTCATCCAGCAAACAAGATGGAAGCGCCAATGGAAGAAACCACCACCATAACACCTGATAAAGATTCAAATGCAGCAATCACGGTGGACGAGAGGTCTTCTGGAATACCGAAGGAATCCCATGAATCAAAGAAAGGATGGAAAACTCAAGCGGGTGAGTCCAACAACCAAAAAGAGCGGCGACAAGGAAGAAATAATGTAGCTGGTCTGGCGGCTGATCACAAGTGGGAGTTATGCAACGTTACGACTGGAACAGAGTATATACCTTGTTTGGACAATGAAAACGCAATCAGGAAATTGGCTAGTAAGAGTCACTTTGAGCATCGGGAGAGGCATTGCCCGGAAGAGGGTCCAATGTGCCTTGTCCCCATACCGGAGGGTTACAAGACACCTATCCCATGGCCTCATAGCAGAGATAAGGTACACTACTACTATTTACACTTTTACAGTACCTTTTCACTTTTTTGGGTAACTGTGGGTGTTTGGTTCAGTTTGTGCACCTCGACTAATGCCATAGGGCCCTAAAGATGAGGAAAATCCCCATTGACCTTGAGGAGACTCGGATAGGTGACCTATGCGGAGGAGCCTCAAGGCCTAGCCTTTACCTTTTCACTATTTAGTTTTTCTAATTTGTAGTATATGCATAAATAGTACATGGTGTTTTGACGAAATTTAGGATGTAATTGACAGATCTGGTTCCATAATGTACCATACAAGTCCTTGGCAGATATAGAGGGGCACCAAAATTGGATGAGGGTGAACGGGGAATTCCTTACTTTCCCAGAAGGTGGAACTCAATCTAATAATGGTGCTCTACACTATATTGACGTGCTACAAGAGGTAAACAAGAGCTAATTATCATACTGCATAAGTTTTGTAGAAAAAATGTAATAGAAGTTCATCAAGCTTTTACGGGATGCAGGCTGTGCCTGAAATAGCATGGGGAAAGCACACTAGAGTAGTTTTAGATGTAGGGTGTGGTGTAGCAAGTTTTGGAGGTTACCTTTTCGACAGAGACGTCCTCGCAATGTCGTTCGGCTCTAACGATGAACATGATGCTCAAATCCAGTTTGCTTTGGAAAGAGGAATACCTGCAATCTCTGCTGTGATGGGTACTCGACGCCTTCCGTTTCCGAGCAAGGTTTTTGATCTCGTACACTGTGCCCATTGTAGAGTACCCTGGCACAAAGAAGGTTCACATATTACCACTTCAATCCTACGTTTTCATTTATCTCAGCATGAATTTCGATCTATAGGAACTGAGTTGCTCCTCTTTCTTTTAAGGTGGCATGCTTCTTTTGGAGCTTAATCGTTTGCTTCGCCCAGGAGGTTATTTTGTTTGGTCAGCAACTCCTGTTTACCAAAATCATGAAGAGGATGTGCAAATATGGGAAGGTATCACTGGGAAATCTTTTCAATTGACTCCAATGTTATTAATGTCTTGAAGTAACTAAAACAGAATCTTACACTCAGAGATGTCTGCTCTAACTGTTGCAATGTGTTGGGAGCTTCTCAATATCACAAAGGATAAACACAATTCAGTTGGAGTTGCAATCTATCGCAAACCAGAATCAAATGAATGCTACAATGGAAGAAAGAAACAAGAACCAGCAATGTGTAAACCAGATGATGATCCAAATGCTGCATGGTAAGTACTAAGGAAGAAAATAGGTGAAATTTAAGTTTTGAAGCCAACGTGTTATGTTTCATATTAGGGGTGTTCGCGGACCGGTTTGTGCGGTTTAACCCCTCAAATCACAAACCAAACCGTAATGACAGTTTATAAAATTTTCAAGCCGAGCGGTTTGACATCAAGTACCCAGACTGGTCAAATCAGACCATGAAAAGGCGGTCTGGAATGACCGGTTTAGGCGGTTTGGGCCTTTAATGGACTTTAAATATTATATTTTAAAATATATATAATTTATAATTTTCGATTAAATATCCAATTTAACAAAACAAAATATCTAAACAAATAAATGTAATAATTAAGCAGTTCTTAAGTACAAAGTCGAAGCAATCCAAAGTACTAACAAAGTTACAACTCCACTGTGAGTATTGAGTAACAAAATCCACGACTTCACAACCTTCAATAGTTCAATTCTTGAGTCTTGAGTTCTTGACCAAACAAAATAGAAGTCAAATCTGAGTTGGTTGGATCACTTGGTTGATGTCTTGATGATGTGTGCCGATAGATTGGTAGAGTTCTTGAGAGATTTCAAAATTTGGGGACCGTCAATATCAAATGTGTCGATATGTTTAATGATTTAAGGGTTTTAGGCGTCGATTTTGATTATGTTAGATGTTAGGCTTAGAGATATATTTGAGTCATAACCCATAAGTTAAAAAAGTTGGGCTAGCTAATACTAAAATAAATAAATAAATATATATGTATTTGGCAATCCGTTTGGTCCAAACCGCCCAAAAAAGGTTCCAGACCGCAAACCGGACCGGACCGCCCGGTTTTGCTATTTTCTTAACCAGACCGTCAGACCGCTCAAACCGCCAAAAGCGGTCCGGTTTGAGCGGTCTGACGGGTTTTTTTTTTTTAACACCCCTATTTCATATTCAAGTATGACAAGAATTTTGTTTACAGATTTAACCTTTATCATATTCCTGAGGGTAGTTCTCACTACTCATTACAATGTAGTCTAATATTTCTATAGGGTTTGGTTCAAGTTGTTAATGAAATGATTTAACTGTATTTGGCAGGTACATACCTCTTCAGGCATGTATGCACAACAGCCCAATGGTGGACACAGAGAGAGGTTCTCGATGGCCTGAAGACTGGCCAGGTCGAGTTCAAACACCTCCATACTGGCTAAGAACATCACAGATGGGAATCTACGGTAGACCAGCTCCAGATGATTTTATAACAGACTATCACCATTGGAAACGAGTTGTCAGTAAATCATATATGAGTGACTTAGGATTCAACTGGGCTGATGTAAGAAATGTTATGGACATGAGAGCTGTTTATGGCGGGTAAGTGTTAAACCAAACATTCTTCTTCATCAGCAGCCCCTTGCATGATCAAATTTTCATCCAATCCGGAAAAGAAAAGGAAAAACAATTCAAAGTTTGAGGTCAAACAGACTAAGTTTCTGTCCTTTACAGGTTTGCTGCAGCATTAAAGGACCTGAAATTATGGGTGCTGAATGTCGTGAGCACAAACTCTCCTGATACACTGCCAATAATATTTGAGAGGGGTCTTTTCGGAATTTACCATGATTGGTGTGAATCTTTTAGCACGTACCCTCGGACTTACGATCTCCTTCATGCAGATCATCTCTTTTCCATGCTGAAAAAGAGGTGATTCCAGTGAAAAATTCTCTGCACACACTATCCAGGTTAATCAAAAAAAAATCTGAGATTGCATTACAATCGATGATTATTTGAACTTCAATGTGGTGCATGCAGGTGCAAGATCGCACCTGTCATGGTAGAGGTTGACAGAATTGTGAGACCAGGAGGGAAACTTATTGTTCGAGATGAGTCCAGCACGATAGGGGAAGTCGAGAACCTGTTGAAGTCACTACACTGGGATGTCCACTTAACGTTTTCTGATAATCAAGAAGGAATACTCAGTGCCCAAAAGTCTACTTGGAGGCCAACAGATCTGCAACATCTTCATGATCCTCATCATCAGAGTCCACATATACAAATAGAGAATTCTAATTTTCTCGGGTCCTACAATCTTGGAAAATAAATTCAGTTGGTAAAACACATGAAAGAAATACAGAGACAAACAATACAATATTCTTAGACTATAGTTTTGCTCCAACTAACAAAAAGGATAGAGTGACTGGCTCTTGTTAATCTTCATGGTAACAGGTAGTCTATTGGCTTCAACATTGCGAACTGTAATTTTTCAGCTCATAGTCTTAAGATTTTGTTTCATTGGCTCTCATTTTCACCTTTCTATGTCAGAATTCATTAGAACCCACCTTTACTTATAAAATAAACATCATTAGCAAAAACAACATAATCAACTTAAAATAATGGAGATTGAAAAGTAAATAGCTAGCAATAAGAATCTTAAATATTAAGAGCTCAAACAACAAAAAGATCTGAAAACAAGAACAAACATTATTATCACAAAGTTAAGGAAAAGCCAAAGTTACATCAGCATAGAGAACCATACAGAATGGCAACTAATGAGCTCATGAACTTCTGTAAATCTCATGGCTACCATAACAGTACTCACTAGTCACTAATACCATTTCCAATGTCAAATAGTATATATACCGATGTCCAACATTCCTTTCATTACACAAGAACCACAAACAAAATCCACTTTGAAAATATGTGTGTATCTCAAAGATATTGTCAATCTTCCTACCCAACAGAATATAACATCAAAATATTTGTAGATGTTAGGAAGTGGACTGATTGAGGAGAAGATACGAATAAGAACGTTTCTTTGTACAAAAAAACGCGGGCAACTATAATAAAAGAAATAGACATCCGGTTTCTCCAAATTATTCTTTCACCAGCATGATTTACGTTTACATGCCCAAGAGGGAGAAAAGTCAACATTACATCAAAAGATAATATTGATGCCCACAGAGCTGCTGCATGTCACCATGAAAACCAGTTGGATCCATCATACCTACAAATGGGTAATGCCACATCCAAGCTAACACACGGACATTGGGTTTCACAGTTTTCCCTTTGTTTTCAATTGCCATCCAGGAGATCTTGCAGCACACCACTCCGGACAGCTACTTCAAGATCTACAAGGATAAACTATATACATAAAAAAGAAGAAACCTTGCTAATTGATTTCAAAGTATCCGAATAGCATATACAGGGAAAAGGAGAAGAAAGACTAACCATCAGCGCCACCAATATGCTTCCCATTCACAAATATCTGAGGAACAGTACGACGCCCAACCAGATCTAAAAGCACATTCTGAATTTGGTACCCATCATCTGAAAGTAACATAATCTTACCATTTATAGTGTTTGACCATTACAGATTATATTATTCTAAGTGAAGTTGACAAAAGAAAATGTTACATTTAGTAAACAAAGAAAGATCAACTGACAAATACCTCGAAGATCAAGCTCCACAACATAAGGTTGCTCTTGTAGTTCATTAAAGATGTGTTTGGCACGCCGACAATACCTGAACTCATTACAAATGACACCCATTGTGTGTTCTCAATAGTGATGTGAAAAAAATAATTAGGTTTATCTTCAATCTATGGTAGTATACACCGGCGCTTACTTAACAAAGATTACTTAGTACATATTTAATTGGAAAAATCGATCATTTACTTGCGTTCAGGTATTTAATAATACGACATCTCCGAATAGCAATGTTGTGTTAAGATTGTTGAACAATAATTTTGTTGAAGCAGAGAGGATATAAGGCAGCAGAAGCAGTGGGAGGCAGGGTGATCATAGCTACTGTTACGTAAAGCATGTTGTGCTAGCATATGAATGCCTCAATGGTCAATGTTGGACATACGTAAGCATGTTTAAATGCACATGCATAGTCAGAGTACCTAGCAAGGGACAATAATATGTTCTCAGTTTGTGGAAATGGTCACATCAGCAAGTTTATCTGCTTAAATCACCTCTGTAAAACTAATCACAGTCTGGCAACCTCTACATAAAGCAGCTCTATTAATAACTTCAATTGAGCATGATAGGTCTTGAAAGAGTTGAAAAATAGAAAGATGCACAAGTAATATTCAAGATTGAGTTACGTATCAACTACTCCATCTCAATATCAAAGCCCTCCTTTGCTTTTCATGGACATCCCGGAATAGCTTAAACCTTCAATTGTCCCCACAAAGATTGAAAAGGATCAGATTTTTTTAACCGTGTGATAATTATTTTCTTAAGATCACCTTGAAAAATATTTGAATCTCTATTAGAGATCCAAATAATGACGATACAAGATTATCACCATAATGAATTTCCAGATTTATTCATTGCTACAAACAAACTCAAGAAATAGTGGCGAAGTCATGCTGAAACAAATGTGAATCTCGATGCCCTTTTTGCAAGGTTTAAGCACACCTAAAGCTCCTAATAGCTAAAAAATCAGCAATCAGGTTTGGAAGATAATCTTGCACTTTCTAAATAGAGTAACAATAAGAAAACCTTTTATTCCCTTAAAATGATTACCACAATAAGTAATGATGGAGCAAATTGAATCAGAAATTATGAAAATGACCAAACCCTTCCCTCATTCTCTTCTTAAAAAAGCAAAAATAATTATCCAAAACTTGAGTTGGTGGGATTGAATTAACACATTGAATGTCAGTGGACCAAAGACTATTCTACCATAAACCTCTGCCACAACATGGGAACATAAGTTGTTGGTGATTTTAGTGTCACCGGTTAGGGTAAATATACGAGAGCTAAAGGGGATCTTTACTTAGTTTTTTATGCAAGTTAGGAGGTGCAGAGTGCACACTTGTATAAGACTAGATTGATCCCGGTATGACAAAAAGGCGGGGGTCAAGGGGGACGGCCTCGCAGGGCTCGAGGCAGCGACCCAAACCAAAATTTAGTTTCTATAGAAGAAGTGTTACGGAAAAATTGTTACAAACCCAAAACCTCAGTTAACTGCCTATGGTCTTATCCTCATTGATTTATGGATGACTCTGAGTATAAATACTCATTGAAATTCGTCTTTTGGCTGGTATCTAAGGACTTGGAATATTTAAAACCTACAGTAACGTAATCTAATTTTTGTGCCTGAGAAATTAGATTGTTCCTTCTTGGATTATCCCATATTCAGAATTTTGTGCAACCCAAGGCTATAGGGTCGAAATATCTGATACGGAAAGTGATATACACGATCCAAGTAAGAATCCAAGGAATTGTGATTTCAGAAAAGCACCCTATTATTCATCTATCCCAACATAAGTAGCATCCTTAAACACTGTCCTACCAATGGCAAACATCTTCGCTGTAGTCCAATCATTCAAACCTCCCTTCAGTACTTCTCCACGTTAATGTTGGCCTAATCCCTCTTCTAACATCCTGATTCATCCAGTCTAAGAGGAAGATGACCAAACCATCACAAGATATGACATCAAAGCACCCTTCAATTAGTACCATTAAAGCGGTAAAGCCTTCTTTCTCCTCGATTATAAACAAAACTCATCCTTGTGTATGTTGGTTCAAATTGTAGAAAAACAAAGCACTGATCAATCTTTGCACAGATAACGAGTTCAGATAAATGATTCCCATATCCAACACAAAATCTCTACAATTTTTCTCAAAGTAAGCATGCATTAATTCAATTATATATTTAAGAATATAAAGAAGACTAACGGGCAGTATGATTTGGAGAAAATGGCGATCTTATTGGAGTAGATGACGGTCTGGACAAAAGCTGACGGAGACTTCGAAGCTACGACTTTCTTCGGTGCATTTATCATCAACGACAACATAATTCCAAAAATCAGCACTCCAAATTTACAACCAATTGACAGAGACCCCGTCATCGTCTTCATCTCGCCCCTTCCCTCTGTTTCTGAAGCTTGCGTCTGAACTGAAAACGGTGAAATTAGGCAAGAGTTTGTTGAAAGCACTCGGCTTTCAAGGGGACAAAGTCCGTGGGCTTGAAGAGTTATTGAGTTACGATGAATTTTACAGATATGATTCATATAATATTAGAGTTTTCCTACTTTTGCCCCTCTTAGTTTTCAGTTTGTACTTATTAGTCCCTGATTAGTATGCAGCTTTCTCCATCTCAGAGTCGATGTAAAATACTGGAATTTGATCTAATAAAAGCATCTTCAATATGTATACTTAGGGGACATCTAGTTTATATAATGAAATTTTGTGAAATTGGAATTAATCAAAGAAATTTGATTTTAAACGAATTACAAGGTATCCGTGTAATGCAGCGAGATATATCTTGATTTTAATATTTTATTTTATTCCGTCTCTGTAGATGTTTTAATATGGTGTTTATGTTATGTGGTTTTGAGAAAGAGATAATGTTTTTATTTTTAAATAAAATATAAATTGGAAGATATTATAAAATTTCGAAAATAAATATATCAATATTAGTATCAAATTAACTATTTAAAAAGTTCTTTTAATTCAATTTTTTTATTATAATTTAATTTAGATGTAATAACAGTAATTTATTTTTGATTTAATAATATATTTTTTATAAAGATAATAATTAAGTATTTTGTTAGAATCAATGATTATCCTAATTATTTTTTAGATTTTTTATATTTAAAATGAAATGTTTTATCTTGTATTTGATTATGTTTATCTGCAGTTAGTTACACGAATTCAAGCATGAAGCTTTAATACGTTATACTTATGCATAATTTACTTGTAAACTTGAAGTTTAAGTAATACACATCAATAAACAGTACTTCAAGTATAAAAAATGATTTCTACGAGTTCTTGTCAAATGTTTTATCATATGGTATTAGATTAGAATGAAATTTGATGGAATTTAACCACAAGTTTAATTGGATGGAATAGTTGAAGTAATTGAAATCTTTGTGATATCCCATAGAATGGCAGAATCTTTAATCTAAGAAATTTAATGATTTCTACATGATCGATATATGAACCAAACAAAATAATTGGAATTTGGTCAAAGGAATTAACCATTCTTGAAATCTTTTTAATTCAATGAACCAATCAGCTCCTTTTTTTTTCTTTTTAACCTTTTTAGAGATTTTCTTTATTTTAATGGAGAGTTTAACGTAACTATTGTAGTGAACTTTTTCCAAATCTCTAAAATTTCTAAAATAGCATAGTTGTTAGAGATGTCCTAAATAATTTAATACGTATTTTACTTATTGATATATTTACAGCCATCAGAAACTAAGAGTAATCTGTTTTTGTAATCATATTTTCTTCATTTTGTTACGTTTACCTCGAATATAAATATAATTTTGTCGAAAACAATATCGCTTAAAAGAGTATAGATATAAAAAAGTTAAGTGACATTATAAAAAAACCAACGAATTTTCCAATTTTGAGCGATGAAGTTTCTAAACAATTGTTTTGAATTAATAAATATATGGACTTTCTAAAACCGATTAAATAATCTTTAAATATAAACTAAAATAAATATATTATGTTCGCTAGTTATTCTAAAACATACAAAAGATGCGATCAAGATGTAAATAGATATCGTTTTTTAGGAACACCTATGAGATTTTTCTGGACTTTCTCCTGACTTTAAAAACTTTTTACCGTTCAAACCGATTAGAAATTAATTTTTAGGTAAAAATATATTTTTAATCATTTTTTGAACGTTCAAGAATTTATTTGTTTAAAAAACTTGTCCATACATATAATTGCTCAAAATCCCGGAGTTTGTTGGATCTTTCTAGATTCTTCTGTAAACTTCAAAAGCATTTTTACCATCCAAACCGGTTGCATATCATTTTTTTATGTCAAGAGGGTCTATTTAGTCATTTTATGTAGTTTAAAGATATATTTGTTTAGAAAAATTGTCTTAGTACTTAATTGTTCAAAATCCAAACATCTAATTAAGCTTTTATGAACATTTCCGTATTAAAAAAGTATAATTTTTAATTAAGTTTGTATTTCTCCAAATTAGTTTGTACATTCCATAGAAAAAAATTATACTGTATTTGTTTTTTATTATCCCGATCCTTGGGAACGTGTTTCTTTGGCATAAAAATGACGCGTATCCGTCGTTACGAAATGATTGTTTTTTGTAAGATGTGATTTTTTTCCAAAAAAATATTTTTTTTGTCTTTTGTGTTTTGTGTTCTTACACTTTTAACTTTAGATTTTACACTTTTATAGATTTAACTAATTACATCACTTACAATTTCACAAATTCATAAACGTTACTGACTTGTAGTTAAAATAAAGTTGTAAAATTACCTTTCTAAGTTTCATTTTAAATATTTAATCAAAAACTTATTTTTATAATAATAATTTTCTTCTTCTAATATGAATGTACATTTTTTATATCATTATCTGATTAGATAATATGTAGAAAACACACACACACACACACACACATATATATATATATATGAGTGATCAAATGCAAACCACCCAATTTGTATAAACCGTGCAAACCACTCTCATCCGTCGATTTCATTATTTAATCTTATAAAAAAAATTCATAAAATTGTTTAATCTTATGAAATTGTTTCATATAATACTTTTTTTTTGATGAAGTTGTTTCATATATGGTTATGAAATTGTTTCATATAATACATAATAAATTTTTAATGAAACTGTTTCATGTATTTCTCTAAAATTAAAATAATGAAGATGCTAATATTCATGATTAATATCATCCACAATAAAAATGATTAATCAACCTCTCATAATTACAAAAAAAATGAACAAAATGAAAAATTATGATTGGTTGAATGAAGTTTGTACGGTTTGTACAAATAACATGGTTTGCAAAGTAAACTCTCTCTTTATATATATAATTCTATATATGACATACAAATTTGATGCTTTATGTTACACCTTGAAAAACGACGTGTTCTTGTCGTGACGTGTAAGCCTGATGCTTGACCTCGCCGTCACGCCTCGCTACGCCACTACGTATTGCCTCACGCCTTTTTGAACCTTATATTTAAATAGAATAAATATTTATTGTATGAACTGAAATTGTACAAAATCGATAAAACTAATATTTATGGTCAGTTATGAAATATGAATTTAATAAAGGGTTGGATTTCGATAAATGGGAAATTGTGATAAGAATGATAAGAAAATGTCTCCACCATTGAATCAATCTTAATTGAAAATAAATAATAATTAGATGCATCGAAATGTACCAGATCAATTCTCGTATCAAACACGTTTTATAAGGTGGGAATGAAATTGAAAATGATCAATGACTTAAATCTCTTATTACGCTTTTCACCTTGACTCTTAAGTCACGTTTGATTTGATGGAATGGTTTTAAGGGGTTTAGATTTCATGGAAGGATTTGAAATCAGATGGATTTTAAAAGAATCCTACAAAATCCCGTGAAATCCCAACCACTCCCGTGAGATTTCAGAATCCTACGTTTGAAGTATTTCAATAAATCATAGGATTTCAAATCCAAATAATCTTACAAAACAAACGTAAGATCATGATAGATTCGAAATTCAAATCCCTTCAAATCCATTACACTTCTACAAACCAAACGAACCGTTATTCTCACACAATCCTCCAGTCTTTTGATAAATATATTCATTATTAAAGTATATAACTAAAAATTGTCAATATAAATTTGGTATGTGCTTGATGAAAAGCACAACTTTAATGCAATGTTTTAAATAATATCATATATTAATAAGTATGTAATGTGATATTGTTAGTTTTTTGTTTTCTTTTATGAATCACCTCACTTTTGATAAATTTTATTTATTAATTGTAATACGAGAAAACTCGAAAGTTTGTTTATTTAACCACAAATGATGGTACCTGATTGGTTTGAGCTTGACTCCAAATGTCAAAAGTACCAAGAGGTCCCAGGTTCAAATCCAAATATGAATAAAAATCCTCTTGTGGCCACGAAGGTTCAAATGGGATGACTCCGGGCTATTTGCAAAGCAAGTGGTCGCCCAGAGATTAGTCGGCTCGCATAGGGGATTGGATATCCAGGTTAATAAAAAAGAAAGTTTGTTTAGTTGTAATAAGTATCGCATGCTTTGGATCCAAGTTATATGAATAGTTATGACACAACGGGTCTGTTTTTTTTTTAATTGTCTCTTAATACATCTGAAGTCTGATTCGTTTAGACGTTTGCGTATCAAGGTTTTTTATTCTTTAAATAAGAGTTTAAAAGCTCTAAATGTTCTTTAAAATTTTAAGTGGTAAACGTATTCATTGATACCTTTTAATCCACTCCGCCCTCTATCAAATGGTTCATATTTTAGGGGTTGGAAGAGATTTCTTAGCAAAAACTATTTATCGTTTATACTTTTGTAAAAAACTATTTATCTTTTATATTTTTACACTAGATTCAGATTTCAGACTTCAGACGTAAAAACAAATAGTCTTACTGATTCAGATTTCATATTTCAACACAACATCTTATAAATCAGAAGTGAAATAAAAATTCGGACTTCAACACTTTTTAAGAAACAAACGCCACCAACAAGATTCTTTTTACGATCATATTATAGGCTCAACCAATGAAGAAAACATGGTCGATATTACAAGTATAAATCAACACATGATTATGACCGTTGTGGAATAATCGACTATTAATAGTCATGACATCAAACCATTCATCTAGATATTTAAAATACTTTTTCATAATTTGAACAGCCGTTTCAGCACAAATAATTTGGATATTTGTTGTATAACCTCATTATGTAATTATTTACATATTTTGTATAGAGTGAGTTTCAAAAGTACTAAAAAAATACAGTTTGTATGATGAGCGATGTTAAGTGTTATAATTCCCTTATATTATATATTATCCGACGTTAGTTGAATATGCAAATGACGATGAACACGTTATTTTTAAAGTTTGCAATTAGTATGAGTCAGGGGTGGGCCCATATTAGTGCATACGGTGGCACGAGCCATCAATTCGTTTCTCTATTACAGTGCAAAAAAATATAAACTCGGGAGATCGGGGACGTATTCATTGATAAAGTTTAATATATCATTATTTTATATAATTTTTTTTAAAGTGAAATATTTAATAATTCAATTAAATATGTTTTTTTTTTAAAATAAAGAACTAATATTTAACTTAAAACTTTTGGCAAATGGTATAAAAAAGTAACGCACTTTAATTTGATTACTATTATGAGTAGCGTATTTTTAATTTTTTTTTGATACTTAAGATGTAAAGTTTTAAACATTTAAGTATTCGGGTAACCGATTAATGTTGATATGGCGATATGATATTCAACTCAGTATTAAGATATCTATGCTAATATCAATCGTCATATCAGCATGATAATCAGTTAATGCTTCAATCGATTACCCGAATATTTAAATATTTAAAACTTTACATTTTAGATATTCAAATAAAAGTTTGAAAAATACATTACCCAACATAAATCAAATTAAAAATGTAATTTGTTCTTAAACTTTGCAGAATTATAGTGAATTTAATTTTAAAAATAGAAAGCAAAAAAGGAAAAAAAAAAAAAAAAAATCCGAAACATAAATAAATATTGGAAATCTGCTCCCTCCCTCCCTCACTCTCAATGTAAAAGGACAGTGGGTTTGGTTCCTGAGAGACGTTACCCGCGCGATGAGCGTCCACAGCATTATCGCATCTTCCTCCAACTCGATTCTACTTCTCTGAACTTCACCTTCCAAATCCTCTTCAATTATCTCCCATTTTCCAAACCTATATACAAATTCTATATCTTTTAACTAATTTAGACACAATTTAGGGTTTCTTTCTTTTACCGGAGAAGATGACAGCAACGCCTTCTGTTTCTTCTCCATGGATGCCTGAAGATGACCTGTTGCTCAAGAATTCGATTGAGGTTTGGATGCATGTTTTTATTTGTCTAAATTTCACCAACTATCCGTTATTGTTGATATCTATTTATTTATTGTAGGTCATTGCTTTTTTTATCTATGTTCTTTTAACTTCGTTTTGGGGGTTTTTCACTTGTAGTTTGCAATTGGTGAGTAGGATTTGGTGGCAGTATAACATGCTTTAAAGTTAACCGAGTTCAAGCTTGTCTATTATAGGTGGAGTAACTTGCTTAGAACAATTTGATTTTGATTTAATGATTTATGGAATAATTCAGATTTGGTGCATACAATTATAGATTACTGGCCCTAACACACACATATACAGTTTTGTATTATGTTCATGGAAGGTAGATGCATCCATAACATTTGTTGTGTGGTTATTTGACCATGTTGTTAAAAACATTTTCATTTATCTTAATAGAAGAACGGGATAAGATCTGATTATATATATGTATGCAATGTCCATGAAAGCATGTTCGTTCGAGTATACTAATCTACCTCAATTAGAATGTAGATCTTCTGTTGGGTCATTTGTACAATTAATGTGAAATGGATTGCAACAGTAGTGTGATGAAGGTTCGAAAATCAATTGATCTTGCAATTAATAAGATGGGGTGAAACCTTGAGTGGTGAAATAATATATTTTTTAAGGAACCACACGGAATCTACGAATATGGGAAAGGATTTATGGGAGTTGCGATTGTGTAATAAAAGATTGAGGAGTATTAATGTTCTATAGTGAAATTTATGTTCTATAGTGAAATTTATATACTTCCTTTATTTCTATACAACTTTCTAATGTGATTGGGATTTTAGTGGAACTTACATACTATCAAGGCACCAACTAAGTATTTTATGTCAAACCTACAAAACTTTCTTATGTTGATTTGGTGTATTTGATGGGCGAGGGAAGTTTAAGATCACTTTAAACTCTGCGCCCCCTGTAGGAACGTGTTGTAGACAAGTTGATGTTGAAAATGAAGTTGGGTTTCAAGTGTTGTTTCTTTGATTTGTTGACACTAATCACAATTGGAAGGTGTGGGTATCGAACCAAAAGTTAGGTCACTTTTCTGAGTTTGGTTAATTGGATTATATTCTAAAAACTGATGTATTGGTGTAGTGTATAACTTATTAAATTTTCTTCCAAATTTCTGTAGCTCTTCTATGATGAATGCTAGTTTGTAGGATAGTTGTGTTCTTTTGCATCTGCATTGTGCTTCATTTGTTCTATGTAGCTTCTCCTTGACACTTCAACATTCTTTCTCATGTAGTGGTTTTTTTGGATATGATTGCAAAAGGGTCTAATGGTTTATAATTGTATTAACCTAGCTAGGCTTCACCAATTCCCTTGCAAACACACCAAAAACAAGAAGGAAAGTAAAAAATAGTTTGATGCCAATTTTCTTTGACCAAGAGGTTGACATGTTCTTTATTCTATATATCTCCATTATGGTCCCCATTTACTTCTTTCTAGAATATTTTTAGTACAAAGAGGATATAAAGGTTTATAACTATAATGAATGTTTAGTGCATGTATTTGAGGTTAATGAATTAGGAAGATTTTGGCAAGGATTCTTCTTATCCTTGAGGTTTAAAAATCTTTCTAATTCATTAACCTCAAATATGAGGATGCTTACATGCACATTAGATTGCTATTCTATTCTTGGAAAGTTGACTATTTTAAAATCAGAAAACTTATGACAATGAAATAGTTTAGAATTATTTGCATCAAATCCCTATATTTGGAAGCACAAATCGTTTCTACAAAATGTTTGAAGTCTTTGTTCTTGTACTTCCAGCACCCTGTCAATCTACAGATAGATATTCTGTGTCACTGTGTGTCTAACTTGCATCTCATTCTTTGAAGTGTCAAACTTGCCAAATGCTATGGCGTCTCATAGTTGGCCTTCAATGGGTACACTGGGAATACAAATCAATGACTTTCAAGCTACTCCTTTATGAAATTTATCATCTAATTCCATGCGTTTAGCGTCATTATGGTGGTCTCGATCATGATAACGTTGATTGTAGATCAATTATTGTAATAAAGCTATATCTATATATCTCATCATATCTTAATCTCTTCTAAGATGGTGTTCAACAATACACTTGCGCCTTTGAAAAAAACTCTTGCTCTGCATTAGACAAGCGAATGAGAGTTTGCTTTTTTAATATCTTCGTATGTCCAAATTTCTTCTAAGATCTATATAGTGCTCAATTTGGTCAGTAATGGAAACAACATAATTCGTATCTATATATTCTCTATACTTGTGCCTTAACCTGAACATAATTCCTTTTTAGCACAAATACCTTTTCAATGCTGCAAGATCCTATAAATGTGATGATAATTACTCTCCTTAGGATTTTTGCATGAACTATCTCGATATAATCACAATGTATGCAAGGTCTCGATGCCCATCAGGTAGATCATCTTCATGACAAGTCGGTTGTGCATGCCTTTGTCTACTAGTTCTTTCCTTGTGCCCTATGGTTTCTCCTTATCTATGTTTTGATTGTCAATTAGTCTACACCTTGGTAGTCACATCTCTTTAAGCTAGTCATGAACATAGTTATGATAGGGAACAAAAACCTCCTCCTTGGACCAAGAAAATTCTATTGAGTAGTTTAGTTCTCATTATCCTTTATCTAGGATTATCTTTCTGCATGCCTTTTGTTGTGGTCTCTTGCTTATGAATCATTCCTTGTTACTACAATGGCATCAACATAGTCTAACATGAAAATGCAATTCCCATCGAAGCCTGAATGATTGAGGAATAGTGTATGATCAACCCTGACTAGTGACTCCCTTTATATTATGTATGCAAGATTGCTTTGGTAAATTTGGATACCATGTCCGAGGACATTATTTAAACCCGTATAATGCCTTTTTTAGTTTGAACACTTCATTAGCTTCTGGATTCATGCAAAAGTGTAATTGAATCTTCATGTAAAATTTCCTCTTCAAGGTCTTTAAAAAAAACTTTCTTCACGTCAAATAGCTGTAAAGGCAAATTGTAGTTGCCTGCTGGTGACAACATCCTTGTATTTTCCTTCACCATTGGTGCAAATCTATGCCATATTTCCATGTCTCCCTTGGCCCCACGCCTGGCTTTATACAGTATAATAGGACTGCAGACCACCTGCTTCTATTTCATCCTGAACACCCATTTGCACCCTATTGGTTTCTTCCCATAGGATAACCCCACTATTTGCCATTTCCATTTTTCTCCTAATGCTTCCATTTACATTTCTCATTTAACTTTAGGAGGTAGTTGAGTTGATATGTTAAATGCCGTAAAATATTGAGACAATTTTCTCAATGGGTTTTGTGAGCTTCGTGAGAAAACCTGTGCATTGGGACTGCAGGTTTTGAAAATGCTCTTGCAGACTCTACTTATTCAGAGAAAGAATCGCAACCCTCAGTTACAGGTAATAAGAAGAACTAAACATAAGAGGTGTGAGTTCTACCTAGTTACAAATGCGAAGGTGTTTGGCAGTCGGCATCCAGTTTGCCATAAACATTACCTAATCAGGCTAAGGTCAATCTAGGTCAACTAAGGAAAGCTAAGAAAACACAAGCAAAAAGATCACAGGGAAAGAAGATAACTTAAAATAAGTTGGTAAAAAGGTTTCTGAACGTTCTTTTAAAACAAGAGGGCGTGGGCATTGTAAGGGCCGTTTTTTCCTAATCCATTCTCTTTGGGCGTTTCACTACACGATGAGTGGATGATTGTGAATAGTTCCATATTTTTGAAGGTATAAAGACAAGGAGTGGCTAAAGTATTCTCTACCACCTGTTCTCCGCCTCATAGTTCCCACGCTAAATTAGTTTTGATCATAGTATGTGAAATAGAAAAAGTGTAACTCACATCAGATTTTTGTTTTAGCCAATACACCCATGTAACCCTGGTGCAGATATCGATGAACATGACAAAACGAGTCTCTGGATTGTTGACTTGAGAATTTAGATGATTGCAATTATCATATGGACCAAAGAAAGGAATTGCATTTCTTTAATTACTCAATAGGAAGGTAATATGTCAGCTTTAGCAATTTAAGAAACATCACACTGGAATTCATTACATTAACATCTATAAGTAGAGAGGGGACCATCATACCAAGTAAATTAAAGGAGGTATATCAAAGTCAATGGTGATGGAGTGAAATTTGTTCTTTATTGGATTGAGGAATGCTTGACAGAGACAAGGGGATTGGCTTATTTTGGCTGTTCACATAGCTGCTTGGTAACCATATATTCTAAAGGCTGTGTTTGATCTTTGCAAGTGCAGTCGTTCTCCTTGTAGTTTGGTCCTCTAATGCTAGAAAGTCAAAACAAAATACCACATGGCATTTTGTATCCTCTGTGGTTTGGTAAATTGACACAAGGAGAAAATATAGGCACTTGGAGCGCATCTTTTAGGGTCAGAGATGGGTATAAACAATTTCTCCTTGGCCAGTAACAGTGACAAGGATCAATCAACAGTGGATATGTATTTACCCCTTGGTAAGAGTTGATGTGTGCTAAATTTTTCGGGACAGTGGGTCATGTGGTTGATTGCTCCTAACTCAATGACCAAGGAGTTTTGAGAAATCCGAACTTGTAGCACTTAAGAGCATATGAGGAATGAGACTCACCTATATTTCCTGATGAACATATACATGTTGATGTTTCTAATGAATCAAGATGTTAGACGTGTCCTCAGCCCTCCATTATCTTCAATTTGTCACGCTCTCCACCACTGGCAGTTGTGGCTTAAATGTTCTTGGCTTAACAAGTCTGTTTTATGTGGGCTTCCCAATCAATCTGTAGGAAGATTGAATTCTTTGGAAATCTCCAAATAGAGATGACTTTTTAGTGGACATGGAAAATGTAACAGAAACCGAATAAACAAGACTGAAAAGGTGTATGGATCCTGGCTGGAGAAACGAAAAGACTCAAAGACAAAAGCTGAATGACAGGATAGACAATCAGCAATGGGACAGGGACTTCAATTTTCCAGCTATTTAGACTGATTAGGATTTCAGAAAAGGTTGCTATGAGGGCGTGGAAGGAATTTAAGCCCTAAAAGGCCCTGATAGCATGAGGAAAAAAACATTCAAATTCTTCTCATCATTCAACCTCAAATACAAGCATGCATACAGACATGAACGCTAATCTATTCCAGGAATGTTGACTGTTTAGGATCAGAAGTTTAAGTTCAGGACATCATTTAGACCATTTACAAGTCGCTATATTTGGGAAACAAAATCCTCCCTGTTGACAACATACTACTTGCAGAATATTTGGGATCTCCATTCCTGGATTTCCATCACAGACGTTGTTTCTCTTCAAGTGGTAGTACATCATCTTAGATCTGACTGATTGATTGTTATGGAAGAAACAGGGGATGAAGTTCCAACTTACAAGTGCATTTTATGTTTTTAGTAAACAAATATCATCTTGGCACTTACTTTCCAAATATATACTATGCTAATTAACAATTTTCTATTCTGTTTAACTAGCGAGCCTCGTGTTACCCAAGATATTAATTTAATTTTGTGCTTGTTTGCCTCTCACAGGCTGGAGCCTCTCTTGAAGCCCTTGCAAAAGGGGCAGTAAAATTTTCTCGCCGATTTACTTTTCGTGAACTTCGAGATCGGTGGTATTCTCTTCTCTATGATCCTGATGTTTCAGCTCAAGCTTCTGCTCGTATGGCTGAACTTGAACTATCTGGTTCTAATCCACCATCAAGATTTAGTAGATTAGAGAATTTGAAAGGAAGTGAGGTCCCTGGGAAGAGAAAATTTGGAAGCATCCGGAGACAATATTATGCTACACGGAAGAAAATTAAAAATGAATTCTTTAGCTCTCCAAATCTTGGGTTTTTTGAGGAACGCAACAATCATAACTACAGCCAGCAAGAACATAAATTTCAAGATCATGTTACGACTAATCATGAGGCCCATGGTGGCGATGCCATGCTAGGCGATTGTCTTGCAAACAATTTGGGTTTTGAGGAAACTGACTTTGAGATCTTGCGTCAGGCTTTTCCAGAGTCAATAGGGAGCATTGCTACTACGACTACTATTGTTGCTGATAATCCAGCTAATGCTTTTCATATGGAAGGATGCCATAAGTCGGTTGAAAATGATTTTATAAATGGATCCATGAGGGAAGATGGCTTGTATAAATTTACTGAAGACGTTTCCTCTTCAGGAAATGAATTGATGGGTTCTTTTGATCCAAATATTGAAATGAAAAATGCCACCCATATGCCTAAAGGTGAGTCTGATAAATTTGCAATATGCATGGATATTGAGGAGTCAGGTCCATCAGAAACTCCTCCCAATGAAAAGGCTTTCAAAACTGATAAACCAGAAGCAAAGCTAGCGTTGACCCATGATTCAGTGAATGAAAGTAACCAAGTTCTCTGTTCCGGATTTGGAGGGAAACAACATTTTAACTCCCCTGTTTCGGATGGTAGTGCTTCATTTCACACGATGGGTTTTTCATCTCCATCAACTCGGCTGCCTCTCTGGAAGACATTGGAAGATGTTTCTGCACCTGATATGCCAGTTGACGAGAACAATGCAGAAAGTCATCAGGTTGCAGAAGGGACATTAGCACTTGCTGAGGATTGTGATCATGGAAGGGAGAGCAAGAGTTCACCAGGGTATGATGCTGCCCATCCAGAGTCTCTTTTGGGAGGCAGACCTAATGGTTTTATCAATTCTAGTGCTGTTCAGGAGGGTGAATATGCAGATCTCCCAGATTCTCTTCTGAACTTCTCAAACGACGATGATCTTCTTTTCATGGATGTAGATGTGAAAGATACAACGCAAGATATTCCTAATCCACAATTGGTTGGTTCTTCTAAGGATGTACAGGAAGTTGATTTATGCAATGTTGATACTACCTTGTTAGTTGCAAGTCCTAACGTAGCAATTCCCAGTGTTCAATGTCTAGAAGAATCAAAAGATTTCTCATTTCACAGTGATCAGCAGGATGTTTGTCATCGGGAGGTTGACGTGCCATCAACATCAGTATCACAGCCGGACTCTCTTCAGCTTACAGAAGGGAAAATTATTTGCACTTTGAACAGAGAAGACCCAGAAATACCATGCAATGATGATATTTTCTTGCTGATTCACCCATCCACTCCATTTGCTCCTGTTGGACTGCAAATCGCTACAGATTCTATTGATCCATTATCCTCCTCATCCCATGAGAAGGATGGCGAACAGGGGATAAGCACATTAAGAAAAGGAAAAGATCCTGCACCATGTTTCCCAAGATCACGTACTGTTGGACCAAATGCATTGCCTGAATATGTTTCTTCCCACCCACTTGTTGGGTCTGCATTCAAACATGAGTCATCTGATGGTGAATATCTGACGGCACTTCCTGGAAAGCCTAACAATCTTAGAATTCCTAGTCAAACTAGGGCCATGCATACGGCTCTAGAAATTACGGGGAATGGAATGCTGGAGGAAGATTCTAGTAAAGTTGACCTTCGGGTAATGAGACTTTGCTTGCATATTACAAATGATTTGATCACACTGAAACTATCAATACTATACTATGACAACTTTGTCCAATTAGCGAATTTGATGTGATCATATAAAAAATCTGAAACTGTGATGGAAACCGTCTCTGAAGTTTTTTTTCATCATAAACAGGGTTTAGACACCCCAGCAACGTACAGCGAGAGGCCATTACCTGTAGAAGTTGGCTCTGTCAAAATGAATGATCCAGAATTGATGGATAATACTTATATATCAGATCAGTATAACTCTGATAGTGATGGTGACATACCTTACTTTTCTGATGTTGAAGCTATGGTAGAATTTTGGGACTCTGTTGTTTATGTTTTCATTTCATTTCGAAGTCTTACCCTCCATTAATAGTTGATGTATTCTTTCAGATACTTGAAATGGACTTGGCCCACACTCAGGAGTCATGTATTTTAAGTGAAGGTAATGTGTTTGTGTTTGTGTACAACTTCTGATCGGAATGTAGTGTCGACAAATTTTATTATCATTCTTGCCAATATAACTAGGTATGCATTCATTAACAATGAGAGGTGTTAGCTGTTTACATCTGATGAAAGCCTTGATGCAAACTTAACACGGGGATACACTATGATTCTGGCACCTTTTGTAGTTATTTGCTAGAAGTGGCTAACCTCCTTGATGACAAAGTAACTGATAGTGATACAAAATCATTAGATTTTTATGAAGGCTGGAAATTAATTCCAAGATAGCTTGTTTCATGCATAAGAGATGTGTGCAGTATATGGTTTACCTGCATCTTGTTGTCTTGTTTTATATATCGTTGGTTTTGCTCCAATCTGCAGTTGCAAGGTATCAATATGAGGGCACTAAAAGGATGATCATTAGGCTGGAACAGTCTGCTCGTTCTTCATTCGAAAGAACCATGTCATCTCAGGGCGCCCTTGCCATCTTTTATGGCCGCCATTTGATGCACTATATCAAGAAAGCTGAGGTATATTTCTGATGAAGCTTCAGATCAGTTTCTTTGTTTTGAAGTACGACGTACATTACATGCATGTTATATTGTTTTGTCAAGTCATTATATTTGACTTGGGTTTAATGGAGCGGCCTTAGGATGATTAAAGTTTTCTTCTGTGTATAACATGATCATATCATGTAAATCATTTTTTACCAATTAGGCTACATCTGCTCATGATTTTATTTGTAAAATTGAAATACCTGAGCTGATGTGGTTAATTGATACGTTGTTGAAGTGTGAGGGTAAGCCCTTTCTAATGTTACTTCATAAGGGATACACAACTTTGCTCACCCTTTGATGAACATATAACTGAATTCTTATTTGTTGCAAACATGTACACATGGGGAGGAATACACAAACATTTCTCATAGAAAAGAAAACAATAGAAGAAAGATGCTGAAACATTTGTTGTTTGTTATGTTAATCACATCTTTCAGAGTATAGGCTAATTAAAAAAAACCCACAAAGAGCTAGGCTTTCTAGAAGAGAACATAAATATCAAAAACCATTCCTCAGTGTGCCCACCATTATCGAGGGTTCCAGTAAGGGATGATGCAGGGGTACCGCCGTACTGGTACATTACGTTCTGTAAGATACTAAGATGATGCAATTGGTTGCACTCCCTCAAAAATCACGAATTTCGTAGAACTGCTCCATCTTGTTTCATGTGTCTTCAGGCCAGCCCAAGTTAAATGCTAGCTTACCCTGGAGCAGATATATTCTTATCACACTTGTAGCACTTCCCCTAATAGTAACCGTGTTCCAATAAGTGGAGCCTTTTTAAAGAAAGGATCACACTATTTTGGACACGTGCTAACTATATTCCATATTTGCTTGTTAGTTTTGCTATGACCATCACATTTGCATGCTGATATGGGAAATAATCGGTACAATTTTTTTCGAGCTCATTCATGAAGCAAAAGTCAACTAAACTGTAATGTTTGTCCTGCACTGTTAACTTGCAATATTTACAAATGTGGCTAGAGATGGGATAGCTCTAAAGATGTTATAGTCGGTCCCTAGATGATATGAGCAGTGCATTAGCTACTCTGGAACCTCTTTTCAACCTCTATGTTGAATTGCACTGCTGATCATCATTGATGTTGAATTTTTACGTATTTATTAAACGCAGTGCAATTCTAAGTTGTCATCCATCTTTCTCGGCAAGGGACTTGGCAACCACCATCCCACGTGGTGATGCTCTGAGTAGCATTTTTTCTGGACCAGGACTGATCACAAAAAATGGTCCATATCTTGAATCACATTTAGCATTTTAATCACTTGTCAATTTCAAGTTTAGCCGAGCTTAGTTTTCAATATTTCAGTTCAGTTATCACTAATCACATGCTAGATATGCTTTTTGAGATGATGCGTTTTTTTGTGTTCAATTTCTTTATGAACCCCATGTCCTGAAACATAGTATTTTATTTTGCTTGATTAACTTTTTTGGTATAACCCAACAGTAGAAAAATCGTGTTTTCCAGGTCACAATAGGAAGATCAACAGATGATACTGAGGTTGATATTGATCTAAGAAAAGAAGGCCGTGCCAACAAAATATCTAGGCGGCAGGTGAGAATGATTGAACGAGTATTTTAAGCCTGTATAAATTCCAACATTAAGAGACCTCACACTTGTCTGTTCCTCTAAAATCATAATTTTCTCTTAAGATGCTGAAACCTTGATCAATAAAATCAGTGATGGCTATATTCAAAAGAGTACAAAACCAAAGCAGGATATCTGGTTCATCAGGAAGATATCAAATAATGGTAAAACAATCCTAGGATAATGTAAAATAAAATAACACCACGCTCTGAAAACTAAAAAGAAGGAAAAAGGATGATTTCTCCCCCAGCACAAGTCATTTTGAATACATAAGTTTATGATATGGCGTCAGCTGGCGATTTGCTTTTAGTTTTTGTATCTAAGCATAAAGCATGTGTATGCTGCAATAGTTCACTGCAACAGGAAAAAATCTTTGAAGGAGCTGTAGATTTCTCATTTGAGTATACTTGCTTATAATTGCTGATTTTTATGTAAGAGTTCAGACTCACGTGATAACCACTCAAAATACTATGTGAGATGAGTCTTGAGGGAATGATTTCAAGGTAGAAGATTAGGGAAATCCCATGAAAAGTTGAATTTTTGAAGCACTATAGTTCATGAAAGATGGTCTTCAATTAGAACCTGGCTATACATGTTCTACATATACATACATACATGTTTTGGCCTTGCTTAGCAAATACAGGACCACAATTTATATATACATAAATACATGCATCTATATCACTATTATGTAGATATCTTCTTGCTACTGCAAAGTTATTTGGTATATAAATCACGCGCCTATCTACTCAGGCTACCATAAAGATGGAAGCAGATGGATCATTCAATCTAAAAAATCTCGGGGCGAGTTCCATCTCACTAAATGGCAAAGACGTTGCCCGTGGACAGGTGGTTGCACTTGGTTCAAGTTGTTTAATTGAGGTAATTATCCCTTCCTGTACCGATCTTGATGAAAACAAATTTTCATATATAAACTTAATTATGTCATTTCAGCGTCCATACCTTCTTAATTTTTTCAGATTTCTGGGTGTCTTACCTTTTGCTAGACTGCTACTGAGCTTTTAACCACCACTTCCTACTATTCTTTTCTAATGTTATATTTGAGCATGGCTCAAACAGGAATAAGTCTATAAGGGTACCCTAGGAAATTTTAGACCAATTGATGTGGATTCTAGAAAGACAATTTAGTTAGCGTAACTTGAAACCTAAAGAGATCGATGCCTCTTTTCTTTAGATTAGAGTCTTGTGCACCCTTTTGAGCTTTTAACCACCACCAACTCCTACTTGACTACTACTATTAATTTTCACGACTTTTTTGGGAAAGCAATATCTGTTGTAGGAAAATTTTCACCAGTTGGTGTAAATTCTTGGAAAACACAAACTAGTTTGGTATGAGCTATAGAAATATAAAAAAAAAAAAATGAGCCCGAAAGAGATCATATCCGTTTTTTCGGATATCCATCCCACCTTTGGGTGGGATATATTGGGTTTGTTTCGTTTGGCTTACTTGTTGCATCAGCTTTTTACGAATGTTCGTTCTTTTAACTAGTGAAATACAACTTATGTATCTCCTATCTCGTGTTTTGAATTGATAGATAAGGGGGATGTGCTTCGTGTTTGAGATCAACGACAAGTATGTGAGACGATTCTTGGATAGCCAGCCAAGGTAAAAGTAAGAGTAGGCAAATTTCGTGTATCCATGAGAGGAAGAGTACCCCGTTTTAAGTGTGGCCTTCTCTTTTTCCCTGATCATGTTTTACTTGTGTCAAAATGTCAATCCTTCCCATATTCTTCTAAGACATCTATATACCATGCAGCTGCTGCTCCATAAATATGCAATTGTGTAAGATATGTAATATATCATCATCATCATCTATAATCATGATTGCTTCATTACAAGTAAAGACATGGTACCATGAACAGTTGATGTGTTTATCCTCTCTAACATTCCAACTTTTTATTTTACAATATATTTAGTTGGTTTCACATATATTAGCCAAGGTAACACTGTACCCTGTGTGGTAGTTGCAACTCATTTACAAGTAAAAGAGTTGATTGATTTTGTGTTATAGTTTATCCTTCAAATGGTATTTGCTAAAAAGAAAATGGGTCGAAGGTCTCCAAACTGAGGAACACATGAATAACCATTCATTTATAGGATATGTAAAAGTGTATACAAGTAATTGAATATCTTTCTTGGTTTCCATGCATATGTGATGCGTGTACTTGACAAATCACTTGTATGCATATGTGTATGCCTTATGGTTTATTCGGGATTTTCTCAATTTTTCATTTTTTTATGCTTTTTCCGATATATATATATGCGTGTGCTATATAATTTTAATAATTTAGTTTATGTATCATGTTTAACACATTAATCATTTATAAATCAAAGAAATAGACAAAAAAACGTGTTTGTAGGTCGATCAAACCTATTTCGACCACACTAAAAACTGGCACTATAGTATCGACCTACCTATTCGGCCACTATTACGTGAGAGTGATTACCGAATACAACTATTAATGTGACACATTAGTCTATCAATAATTTTATAAAAATAAAACAGTGCTCACTCCATTTCTATGTTTTATTAAAAAAAACGTGACAATAATTAAATGAGAATCAATAAAAGATATAATTAAATGAGAATCAATAAAAGATAACGAACTAGTCAGATATAAAAATATTTTCTTACATATATTTTTTTTTATTATCAAATACTATAATTTAAAGTATTATTTTATATATGTTTATGTTCACATGATGAAAAAGTAAATGTGAAACACTTTCTTTGGTTCACATACACAAAAAATATATATTAGAGTATATTTTACGTTATGAAATAAATATATAATGAAAACATGTAGTTCTCTTATTGAAGTATATAATATTTATATGTCAAATAGAACAAATAAACTCACATACCCTTTTCACTTTTGGTGAGGTTTGAAATTGTGACCTCTTGGGATGTCAAAGTCTCACATACCGCTAGAACAAAGACCCATGATGACATGTAGCTTTTGGTTATCTTAAAACATGTAACTTTTGGTTTCTTCGGTTTTAAAAAAGTTTTTTTTGATCAGTAATCAGGATTCCAAATAAAAAAGTTATTTTATTTTCATTTTTTAGTTGTGTATTAAGGTAAATAGATTTAATAATTCCATTTTAATCAGTATAGTTAACCGTTAATTTGAGAGAGAAAAAACGATGAAAAATCAACTTAATGATGTTTACATCCAACTCTTGTGCATGTATCTATAAAAATCTACATCAAATAAGATGATCATTTGTTTAAGGTCCGACATAATTAGATATTTTTATTTATTCTTAAAAAAAATTTACACCTTGCTTATCAAACCTGAAAGATCAAAAAATAAAATTTAATTTTATGGCTTTTTATTGGACGGAAAAAGAAGGATATTTTTTGTCTACCTTACTTTCTTCATTTTTCCTTATATCAGTAACTCAATCAAAATGCAATTATCTCGACAGACAAAATATATGTTATGCTTAATTCTTTAGTTTGATATCCGAACATGTGAACAACAAGTGATTCTTTATATTCATTCTATATATTCTATGTATAAATGATAAACAACGTCGTTGTGATTTCTGAATTGTGAAACGGGTTCAAATGGGAATCATAAATAATTTGAGAATCTTGAAACCAACTATTATATATACTATTTCTAGTGAATAACCTTAAATTATTCATGATTATCCTGTATTTTTCTTATTCATAGTATTCGTCGTTAATATTTATCACGATATTTGGCATGATTAATTCATGAATAATTAGTTCTCATATTCTTTAAAAATATATACGATTCTCATTTTTAAACCTATTTGAATGTATTATATTCTTCCTTATATGCATCAATTTATGCACACTAAAATGACAAAAGCCCTTTGCAAATACCATATATCATGACATTATCTATACTATATTATAAAACATTTGATAAAAACTTTTAAAAATCATTTTTTATGCATATTACTTAAAGTTTAAGATTACAAGTAGAATGTGCATGAGTTTATCTTATTAAAGCTCTATGTTTGAATTCGTCTAACTAACTGCAGAAAAACATAATTAAATACATGATAAACATCATTTTAAGTATAAAAAATCTAAAATATAATTAAGATAATCATTGTATTCTAACAGAATACTTTATTATTATCTTAAAAAATTATTATATTAAACCAAAAGTAAATTAGTTCTTTATTAAACGTCAACTAAATTATAATAAAAATTTGAAATAAAGAAATTACACAAAAACAATAACTTCTAAATAGTTAATTTGATAGTAATATCGATTTTATCTTTTTCAAATTTATATTTCATTATAAAATAAAAATATATATTATTTTTCTCAAAACCACATAAAATCGCATTATAACATCTATAGCCAAAACATAAAATGAAACAATAAAATCAATATGTATCTCGTTGCATTACGTAAGTACTCTTCTAGTCATCTCTAATATTGAATCTTGATATCAGTTCTCATCGTTGCTATTACTTAAATTTAGTCAATGTGCATGTAAACTGACTTGGATAACACCTACACAATTAACAGAAGAAAAAAAAAAGGTATACGCAATAACATTTGGTTCTCTTATTTTTTTTGTTTATATGTTTTTATAACACGAACAGAATATGATTCCTATTTTACGATTAAAAAATTGTAATTTTAGCAATATTGTTTTATTTTAAATTAATAAATTAAAGTTTTAAATGTTAAATTATATTATTATGAATTGAAACACCTGTTATTATATTAAGCTTTGGATTATTCAATAAAAAGCACCAGTGGTCTAGTGGTAGAATAGTACCCTGCCACGGTACAGACCCGGGTTCGATTCCCGGCTGGTGCAGTTTTTTTTGGCATCATATTGCGAATATGTTTTATTTTTAGAGAAAATTACAATTTTGGTCCTTGATGTTTACAATTTTTAACGGATATTGCTACAATTTTGGTCCTTGATGTTTACAATTTTTAACGGATATTGNTACAATTTTGGTCCTTGATGTTTACAATTTTTAACGGATATTGCTACAATTTTGGTCCTTGATGTTTACAATTTTTAACGGATATTGTTCCTGTCAAAAACTTGGATTCCCTCACGTTGATCAATTCTCAACGCTTTTGGCTCATTTGTCAAAAGTCGTTAACTTTTTCTCTTAAGTTCAATTAAATAAGAGATATTTTAGTTATTTTCACTATTTTTTTGAATTTTATATTAAAATTAAAAAGCATTATATTTTTATTTGTAAATTGTAAAACAAAAAAAGAAAAGAAAAAGGATAACCACCACTTTTTGTTTTTCGCAATTTATATAAAAGATATAATATGTTTTCTTTAACATAATACAAATAGTGAAAATAACTAAAAAAACCCCCCTCTCATTTAATTAGATTTAATGGAAGACGTTAACGACCGTTAGATAGAGATGCCAAAACCGTTGAGAATTGATGAACGTGAGAGACCAGATTTGAGTTTTTGAATTTCTAAGGGAAACATCTATAAAATTTTCAAACGTTATGGACCAAAATTGAACTTTACTTATTATTTATATATGGGATAAAAGATAAAGGGCTAAACTAAAACTTTTATGTACCTTCAAAAATAATCTAGAAAGCACCTCCATCTATCAAAGAAATTTACAAACAGTCCCTACTTCCAAATAAGATACTTTTAGGGACAAAGTCTCTGCCAAATAGGACTTATTTGTACAAAAGGTTGAATGGACCACATGAGGAGAACAAAACCCAAACCTCTCTGCAATGAATCTGTAAACATAACTGACAACAGTAACGTGTTGAAAAAGATAATGTATTTTAATACAACAGTATTTAGTCTTAACTTGATTTTTCAGAAATCCGCACTTGGATTACGGACTCGGTCTCTCATGAACAGCCAAAAAAATCACGACTGTATCATGTACAGAAATGTACATAAGAAAACATATGCATGTTGCTATAACATTATGAAAGACGGTTGTTTTTTAGTATACATACTGATATGAAATGACTAAAATACTCTTGAAGCGGGTTAGAAAGTTGGTGTAGAATCAAATCAAAGGAGGGTTAGGATGGGGACAAAAAGTAAATTTGGTTGTTATGTACTCTTTGCTTCCAAGGCATGCCTTTGCTTTATTCTTTTCCCTTGTGGCTTTTTGCTTCTATCATCATGAATTCTCCCACTATTTCTCCTTTTTATCCCTTTCTGCTTCCAAAAATATTCATGCTCACATATTTCCTCATCCAAAACACATACAAACATCCTTAAAAACCTTTTTGATTTTTATTTATGTATTTATTTTATTCGAAATAATTATGAATCTTATTTTATATTCATGTAGTCGTATCAGTTACATGTTTAACCCCTCCTTTAAATCATAATTCAATATGAATTTTACGTTTCAATGATGTCCTTTTTTTGATTTTCAAAAAAAAAAAAATTAGATACAATGTGTACCGTGTTTCTTTTTTTTTTTACTATTTACTTGGACAGTTACTGATTTTACATGTCGGGTCTAGTGAAAGAACAATTATTGATCAATTTTCATCGATAAAAAATTGAACATTTCTAGCTACTTGGTCTAAAAAGGCTTTTACCCAATTTTACATATTTGTCAATTAACAAATCAGTATAAATAATGATTATTATGGACCACAAGTTATATTATTTGAAGTATAAATCAATCCAATGAAATACTGTATTTTCTTATTGAAAAATTAACATTTATACTTTTTTTTTTGATAGGGATATTTTCGACATTGAACCTTAGTAAACTAAAATATTAAATCATTAAACACTGATTATTACTTGTTAAAAAGAATTGAAAATTAAATTCTGACATTTTAAAAGGTATTATTTATAATATTTGATTTGTTAAAAAATTAACGTTTACTTCAGTTGATTTGTATAATG